AAGCCCAGGTCCAGGAGTGCTAACTGAGGGCAGCTTTGATGAGGACAGCAAGAGACTGGATAGACTGAGACATATTCAAGGAGGACCTTGGGCCTGGAGGTTGGTGGTGCCTGAGTAAATGGGGAGTTCATAAAGGTACCAGCAGATGGTAGCTGAGCGAGAGGCCTTGGCAGGCGTGTGCTCGTTAATGTGTGTGAGACCTTCGGTAAAATGGAGGCTGACCCAAGGAGACTGACGGGGATGGGGATGGAACCATGAAGGTTCCATGCCTATGAAGGTGAGCAGTGGGTGAGCCTGGGAACTAAAACCTCTGGGTGGACCAGGGAAGGCTACTAACCTGCCCTTCTACCCCTAGGATTTGTAGCTAGATGATGGGAAAGTCCTTCAAATTGGCCCAGTGGTATAGCTGCTGTGGCTGTGGGGGGCCTGCCCAGGGAGTCTGCTGTCCACCACCCTCCCTGCCACTAGGTCTGTATCAAGTAAATGTTTCAGCCAGACTCTGTTTTTCATGGTCCCAACCTGGAGGGAAGAGGTGGGCCTGGTAAGGGAATGTGGGCACACTCTGAAATTCAGATCATTTTTCTCTGACCCCTGGCCCTTCCCACTGTCCAGATATGGGCTTTAAACACCAGCAGGAAGAGCAGATGGACCCCCCCTCTCCACTAGCCCTGTCTGTTTACACTGGGGTGGGGCGCTAGAGCCCTTTCCTCAAAAGTGGAGACCATGTTTACATAAACTTTATTTCCCCCTCAAAAGGCTGACATGCCAGTGGGGCTTGAGCTCCCAAGATCCAGGCTCCTCCAGGCTGAGGGTCTGCTGGGCCCCAGATGGGTGGGAGGGGTGAAGAAGAGGGGCCAATACGGGGCAGGCTGGCTGGCCGGGCATTGCATAGCAATGAGGCCGAGTCTGCAGCAATGTGCTGGATGGCTGGCCTTCCCAGGGGAAGGATGACACAGGTGGGGTTCCTTAGTCCTAAATGCCAGGAATCCAGGCTATGGTTTAATGGCTCCAGAAGAAAGAACTCCCACCCTTTTCAAACGGGCACGACTAGGGCCGCTGGGCATCGGAGCCTGACTGCTGGGGTTCTCCAGTGGTCTCTAGCTCCAAGGCCTCAGGCAGAGAGTTGGTTTTCTCAGAGGGAGCTGGTGCTTCCTCCCGGGCTTTTATCATCTTCACAGCCTCATCATAGGGTGGTGGCAGCTCGGATGCGTACAGGCTGTAGGTGGGGGGGACCATGGAGTCAGGGTCTGGCTCCCCAAAGTACAGGGGCAACCGCATGCCCAGTGGGTACTGCACGGAACTGTAGGCTGCAGGGAACGAGAGTGGGGTTTTATCAAGATGGCTTGGCATTCACCCCATGGTGTCCTCTGCCTCCGAGCCTCCCTCTAATCCCCCCCACACCTCCACCGCTGGCTAGAGAGTTCTAGACACTCACAGGTCACAGTGCTGTGTGCCGGGCTGTCGCTGTCCATAGGGATGACTGTCCCATCACAGGGCTGCCATGCTGCTGGCGTGTGTGTCTGGGTGTGCGCCTGCTTCCTGAGGCAGCAGAATCGTACACAACTGGCTGTGACCCCACACAGAAGCATCAGGAGAATGGCAAGCAGGATAAGCCTGGCAAGGAAAAGCAAGGATCTACCACTGGACTGGCCTTCTGTCACTGGGCACCTGCACCCGGGAGCCAGTCATGCCTAACCACCCAAAACAGGATAACAGACAGGTGAGAAGAAAGTAAGAGAAGTCTTTCCATGCCAGACACTTCCTCAGCTGGATTCAGGCCCGAGGAGCTGCCTGCATTGGTCTCTTCCAGCTGGGGCCAATCCTGGCTTGGCTCCCTAGTGCTGGCCAGGGGTGGCTTTGGGTTCACTCCCAGGACACACTGTCCCCAGGCAACTGCACAGTCCTTGCGCCTTCTGCTGAGGATAATCGGGTCTGGTTTCCAAGGCTGCCTAGGGCTCAAGTGCTCTTTAAACAGCATGGAGGGAGTTGGGGGCAGTAGATGCAGCAGGTGAGGCAGAAGGGGTTCTGGTGGTCCTAGCCTACGTCTACCTTCAGAGGGACTGTCGGACCAGAGGCTTGGCACGTCGGTTTCCACTTACCCCACATGCCATAGGCTGCTCCAGCGGGCCTGGGGAGGGCACCTGCGGGGACAGCGGCACCTGGAGCGGGTGGGGTATCTGCTAGCTCACTCCACCGCTCCCAGCCTTTCCAAGTTCTGCCTCTTCCCTTGGCCCCCAGCTACTTACTGATCCGAGGGGTCACAGTTGCCGTCCGCGGAACCCAGCGTCACCTGTGGGGACAAGGGTGAGCCAGAGCAGGGCAAGACCGAACTCAGGGCCGCCCCACTTGCCATAAACACGTCCTGAGTGCGGCCCAACCCACCTGCGACAGAGGCAGGAGAGGCAGCAGCAGCAGGATCCCCTGTGTGGCTGACGGCCCCGGGGCCATGTTCGGTAGACCTGGCGGAACTCAGTCCAACACCCGGCTCAGCTTTATGAGGCCCCGCCCCTGGGCCTTGTCGGCTGAAGGTCCAGGGTCACGCCCACCTTGGTATGCTTCCCTCCTTCCTCCCTGCTCTCCGTTTTTGGTTGTTGTTTTGTTTTTTTCCAATAGAAGTTTGAGAGAGCGAGTGAGTATGTGTGTGTCTCTCCCTCCGTGTCATCAAGGATCAAGATCTTTCGGTGGGAGCCCTAGGAGGGGATAGAGCAGTACTCTCTCTGGGCATAGGACATTGGTCTGTCTGTCTTGTATCAATCTGATGCCTTACCCAGCCACCTGTATCCCCTATTTTCCCCATCTCCACCCACAAACCAGGTCTCTTGAAACTTGCAGTCTGCGCTGCGCTGGGTTGTGGCCTTTCAGGATAAGAAGAATCCACCTTCACACCCCACAATCGGCTAGGTTAAAAGGAGTGAGGATTTACACCATTAATATGCCGAGTCTTCCAAACCACCTCAAGGACATTTACTATGGATCCTCCGTGTGGATACCTCTGGGGAATGGCCCATTTGGTCTGGAGCCAGCACCTGGCTCTGGGCTACTGAACCACTGCAAACAGACCACTTTCCAGAAAACATTTGGCTTTAAAGGTCGCATTCGTTGGGAACCACCACTCCTGGCTCAACCCAAAATGCCTACTTCTGCTGCTGAAGTGGCTGCTGCTTCCTGGAGGATCTTCTTTATCATCCTCCAGGCTAAGAGCTGTGCCAGCTGGTCTGCCCTCCGCTACTAGGGCACTATTAGAACACTAGTGATCAAATTGCAGGAGGTGGTCAGCACAACCAGGCTGGTTAAAGGAGCATAGAGGGTATACTCGCCCTCTCTTCTGCTTTCATTTCTTCACTGTGCACATGCCTGCATGTGTCTTGGGTTTCTCCCTCAGTGGGTAGGAGTTTTACAGCTGTCCTATGCACTTGGGACCTGTGCCTCACCTCTCAAGGGCCCTTTCTGCCAGGCCAATGAGGGTAGTTCCTATGCTGCTTATGTCCTTTGCTCTGTCTTGGCTGTACTTGGTACCGTAGGACCAACACCAGACTAGGAAGAGTAGATGTCAAAAGTACAGGGTGAGGCTGGGACCAGAGCCTGGAGTCCAGAAAACAGAAGGCTCTGCTCTTTAATTAATTAATTAATTAATTTATTTGAAGGCTCTGCTCTTGTCCTCATGAATCCCAGACTGGTCTATTGGTCCTGCTTTGTCCACCCATGTGGCCTAGAATCATGTCGAGGGTCATCTGGTCAGCTATCGTCAGGGAAGCCAAAGGCCTGGGGCTGCTACCTCCAAAGTCGCTGAGCAGGATTCCTGCAAAATGCTGTTTTTGAGATCAATGTGGCTGGCTCAGTTAGGGTCCATGTCAGCCTTCAAGGTGCCAGGGGCACTAAGGGCTTTTGTGAGAACAGTGTTCAGCAGATCACCCAGATAGATGTCATTACCCCCATCACCCTGCCGGGCCTAGGAAGGCTGGGAAGGCTCTCTCTGTAGCTTGTCCCCATTGGGTGGCAAAGTAGGTATGCTCACTGATAGGAGGGCAGGCTGGATGCACTTCAAGAGAAAGCTTTTGACAAGCCGTACTTCAGAGGAAAAAGCTGGTGCAGTGTTGGAGTAGGGGTGTAGAAAGCAAAATCTATCCCTTTCCAACAAATATGAGCTCAAGCTCACAGGCCGGGCCCTGCAGCTCACAGGCTGGGCCCCACTTCAGACCCGGCTCACCTCTTGCTTGGGCTCATCTGGGTTCCTGGGACTTGGGAGGAGTTGAGAGGCTTAAGGGACCTTCCCTGGACTTTGGAGCCTCTTGTCCCCCTCTTACTCCACCCTGTACCTTTCTAGGTCTGAACCAGGCTCAACCCTGGCAGCATCCTGCACCCTCCAGCATCCTGTGCTGCTTGGTGTCACCCTCAGTGATATGGATCTGGAGGGGTTTCCAGGGTTTGGGGCAGGGTGAACTCCCTCTGGTTATCTGGCAAGATCTCACCCTAGAGGTTCTTACTAGCCAGAACACTGTTTTATGGGTTGGGTCATGTGAGGGTGGGTATGGGTTAGACTTCCTTCAGGTTCTCCACCCACCTCACTCTGTGCTTAGGCCCCACGCTGCATACCCAAGTGTTGGTTCTCAGAGTTTATTGATAGGACTATGTTGAGATCTCCTGGGATCTCTGAAGCATGGGGAGGTGCTGGTGGGTTTGGGATCCGGGAGTGGGGATGGTGCATCTAGGAGCAGGTTGTGTGTGTGTGTGTGTGTGTGTGTGTGTGTGTTAGGTTGGATGGATTAGTATTTATTTCTTGATGTGTGTTGGGGGGAGTCTTAGACTGCTCCCAGGGCAGAAGGAATTAGCTATGTCTATAGGGCTGGAAGCTCTGACTCTGGGACTGTTCACTTGAACCTGCCCAGCAGGGGACGAGCACATCCCAGGCCTAGGGGAATGGGTTGCCTTGGCCCATAGCCTGGGAAGGGGTCCAAGAGTGGATGGGAGAGTCCAGGAGGCTCTTCGGGTTTCCTGTGTCCTCAAAACCCTGTGACCACGTGGGCTACAAAGATGACTTTGTAGGTTTCCTTTACGTCTCCCCGGAGCTGCAGCAGGGTTGACACCATGAGTGGGTGGTCTGGCTGGAAGAAGAAGAATCCTTAGACTTTCCAGACAAATCTGTTCTTTCCCAGTGTCATGCCTACTTCAGCTCACATCCCTCCCTGCCCTGCCTGGGGTCCCAACACCTACATCAAAGTCAGCAGCTGGTACCCACGAGATGTTGATGGTCTTAGTCTGGCCGCGCTCCACGGAACCCCTGGAGGGCTCGATGGAGAAGCCCTTGTGCTGAAGCCATGATACACCGTCCAGGATGAACTCCACGGTCTGTGAGGCATTGATACTACAGGAGGTTAGAGGGTCAGGGACTCCCAGGAGGTAGTAGGACGAGAGGGGTGAGGATGCCCGGCTTTACCTACCCCTCAACTAGGACTAGGGGTGGGGGAAGTCGCCACCCCGCAACTGCTGCAAAAAATCCTATACAAGGCCAGTGAGGTACAAGGCCAGGCAGAAGTCAGGGAGTCCCCGGCCTCCTTCTGGGGTTTAACTCGAGCTACGGCTGTGATCACCTTCCTCGGTGATGGCTGAGTGGTCCGGATACAGCCCACTTGCAGCTCTCGGGTGGCAGGTGAGGTGGTTGTGTCTGTGTCAAACTGGACATAGTTGAAGGTCACCAAGATGGGCTTTATCTCCTCAGCTTCTGGAAAGGGAGAAACCAGCTGAAAAGTGTCTAGAGAAAGGGTGTGGCCTACAAGTGAGGGGAATTTGTCCAGGGTGGCACAACGGAGGTAGAGGGTGAACCTGGAGAGCTGGCACCCTCCTGAGTAATCCTCCTGGCTCTGGGATAGATGGTCCAGAATTCTATCTGCCCTTCTCCACTGGGTCTCATTATGCCCGCTAGTTGGCTCGGGGTTCTGGAGGGCCTTGTCATTGATTCTCTAAGGTAAGTTATCCCTGCCTCCCCTTTCTCAGAGCCAGAAAGCACACAGTGGGGGCTCACCTTCTTTATGCTCTGGGTCAAAGGCAGTGATCACTGCGAGGGACTCTACAGGTACATCCAGTGGGTCTCCTCCCTCCACAAACATCATGTGCTCGCGGGCAGCGCCCTTCAGGAGGATCTGGTGGGAGACTTTCTGGGGACAAGAAGCATAGCAGCCTGCCCTGAAGCTTGACAGTTGAAAACTGAGGCTGGTTCAGGCGTGGGGCCTGGAGAATCGGGGATGCCCGATCTCTAACTGGTCTCTAAGGGCCAGATAATAAAAGCTGCCGAGAAGGGGCAGATAAGGGACCCTTGTGGATCCCTCCCAGGATGGGGTGGAATCTCAGTGAGCCCAGCTATGAGTTCCACCTTTTCAAAGAGCACCACTTGGAGCAGGTCAGAGAAGTAGAGGCTCTCATGGTCCGGACTGAAGGTGACGGTAAACTCTTGAGCCTTCCCAGGGAACATGAGGCCCTCAACTGGGACAATACTGAATACGCTCTGGCCGTTATAGTTCTGTGTGCCTGTGGGCGGGACAGGGGTTACGGTCAACACTACCATTCTCCTCCACTGAGCTCAGACCCCTCTACTTCCCTTCTTGCCCAGCCTCTTCATGATCTGTCTTACCCCACTCCACCCCAAACACCACCCTCATGTCCTAGCACGCATCTCCCCGTGGAGCTGTTACCCCTGTGGTTCCTGGCAGTGCGTCAGTTAGCTCACCGACTATTTCTGTCCTCTGCTCCTGGGAGGTAAGGAACTTTGGCAGCTGCTGGTAGGCCTCAACCTTTTTTTTGGAGAGGCTCTCCAGGCGCACCCAGAACTTAATGGGAAGCGAGGATTCGTTCTGTAGCTGTAAGAGCAAGCTGTCACCTGACTGGCATATTGTGGGCTGCCCTAGTGCCTGTGACTAGGTTGCCAGCTGCCGGATCGCTGATCAGGACCGGGTGGCACTGCTAACAGTAACCACAGTAGCAGTGTTTGGTACTCTTAGTATTCAGTCGCTCCCCTTACCCTGGCCTTTTCTAAGGCTGGCTGGCAGCCTGCTTCCCTGCCCAGCTGTGTGGCCAGCCTTAAGCCTGTCAGCTGTTGTTCAGAGCTCCTCTTGGCTGAACCATATCCTCATCTAGTCTCTTCTCCTCCCTTGACCCCCTCTTTGAAATGCACTGTGTCTGGTGCTCCGCTTCAGGACCCTACCAGGGCCAGTGGGAAAGTTGCTTGAGCCCAAGCCTAGGGTAGACATTGGGATGAGGCAGGTCCATGCTCATGTGGAGATGAGAGAGCCCAGGTGATGGCATGGGTCTCCTTTAGAGGTCTACCCACCGCAGGGCACTGGCATAGAGCTTGAGGGAAGTAAATTAGTAGCAAAGCTGAATGAAGGCCTGATGCAGAAGGACATGAAATATCCTGCAGGCCAAGGCTTTGGCTGAGGGTCAAGGGAGAGGTTCTCTCAGTTTCCCCATAAGGGCAGGCTCTGGGGGTCCCTGCTAGGAATGCGTTAGAGATGACAGCCTCTTGGGAACAGAGCATTTTGGGGGAGACAGTCTGTGTCTCCAGTGATTCCCCCAACCAGCTGGGTGCTTCCAAGTACAGAGTTCACTGCCTCTAAAAAAAAAAAAAAAAAAAAATCCTTTTTCTAGGAAGCTGGGCCAAGGCAAAGGCTTAATTCACCTTAAAGTTTGTTGAGACAGATTCTCTGGCGAGCACATAGCCCATGTTGAGGACGTTGCCGTCAATGGAGCATGTAATCATGGATGCCACGCCCATGCCCAGGAGGGTGAGACTGAGAGTGCCTCTCTTGGTGATGATCTCCAGAGTTTCCTGAGCCTAAGGAGATCATGTCCTTTAGCAAAGAACCAACGAGGGAGCTCTTCTCAGGACCGGCTGGCTGGCAGCATTGTACGAGGGAGCTCTATTCAGGAGTGGCCGGCTGGCAGCACTGTACTGCTGAGATAGCCTGGAGAACTTTGCCTCCACAGATTTGTTGGCAGGAGTTGGGGTCAGGAGCACAGGCTGCTTTCAGGCTCCAGTTGATCATCTGGGCCTGAGAGCACAGTGGTATCTGCCCCCCACCCCCCACCCCCATGGTTGCACCATGGTCCTGAAGTGTGGGGATCCCAGGGCAGCAGCATTGCCTGGGGGCTGCACTCACCAGCATGTTCTCGTGGGGTGAGAAGGACAGCACCAGGGTCTGTGTCTCGCCGGAGCATAGCTTGTTGAAAGGGTTTAGCCGAACGAAGGGGCCGTTGGGGTTCAACACTGAGTACTCCAACTGAGGATGAAGTCAAGGATGAAGATAATCTTTTGCAGGCTCTGCCGGACACCTCGCTCCCATCCCTAGTTCTGGAAGCTGGCTCACTGGATATGGGTAAGGATACAGTAAGGTCCTCATTGCAAATGTTCTGGAGGGTGATCTTCTTTATGCTTCGATGCCCTGAAATGTGGCAAAGAGTCAAGTAATGGCTCCTAGGCCCCGGGGGACCACCTCTCTCAACAGCAAGGTGGGGAAGCAGATGTTAGCTGGAGTGGCCTTGGTACCCGGGGTGGAAGCTATGCTCTAAGGAGTGAGGGCTGTTAGTATATATCAGGACTCACCCACAGCAATATCTCCGAAGTTAAAGACAGTCTTGCCTTTGTGGGATGTCACCACAATAAACGGAGCCACCGCTGGACACCACAGTTCCAGATACAGAGTATTGTGGGGGCTAAAGCCAGGACAAGGACAAACAAGGACAGATTAGAGTGACCTGGTATCCCTCGGGCCTCAGGTCTGACTAGCAGTAGAGGGGGGACAGTGGGTTTATGGCCAACCACACCCTAACCTGGCTCAAGAACCCCACACCTGAAGCTCAGAGATTCCGATGTCTTCCTGTCTTTGATGTCACCACTGGCAACAACACAGGGGATCACAAACCTCTCAAACTTCCCCTGGAAGGATTTGGACAAGGTGGCTTGTGCAGCTTGGTACTCAGTGGAACTGGAAGGAAGAAACAAAGCACGTCCGTGCATGTTCCCGTGACCTCTCGGGGTCTGCCCCTGGGATACAGTGTGGGATACAGGCCTTCTTCATCTGTAATGTGCATGCCTACTCTCTAGGGCTTGGGCTCAGGTGAACTCTCTGGGGAAGGCCAAAGTATTATGAGGCATAACTTGGAGGCAACATTGGTCCCAGATGGTGGCCATATCAGTTTTATCTGGTAGGCTAGCTTTCCTGCTCTTCTTTGGCTTCTGCAGGGAACTTCTTCCCCACAGCAGATTCTTGTCATCCAGAGAGAGTGAGTAAATGGTTTTGTCACAACAGAGCCATATTTCTGGGTCCATAGGAACAATTTCTGGGCTGGGCTAGGGGCTCAACCCATCACAGCTTGCTTGGGCTCATTTGTTTATTAGGAAGGTTACTACAGCCAGACCATGGAATAGTCTGTTCAGGGGGACAGAAGGTCCACAAGGATAGCCAAGGAGCAGATGCCTAGCAAGAAGAGCCCTGGGTCCAGCTACTTCTGAAGCCAGCTAGTCCTGCAGACACGTAAGCCAGTGAAGCATTGCTCCATGCAATGTGTGGGAAATCCTTTGTAGGTTTCATCCGAGCAGGGGTGGGGCTTGGGAGGTAGGGGTATGTGTGTGTGGAGATGGTGTGTGTGTGTGTGTGGATTGGAAAGACCCATTCATCCTACCTGGCACTGACCACTGGCCTCTGCATCTCTGTAGCTTGGGTGGTGGAGACCCGGGTTGGTCGCTCCCGGTTGTGAACCCGGAACACGGACAAGGACTGTTTCCACAGTTCTTTCCTTTGCACTGTTTCCTTCTGGAACTGTAAGCAGGAGCAGATGCTGTAGGGCTACCCCAGGGGCTCATCCCTCTGCTTAGCAGGCTTTGTAACTGCTCCCCCACTACAGGCTCCTCTGAGGCCTGGCCTAGCCGGCTTGGTATGACTGCTTGGCTGAGTGGCAGGAGCCACAAGTTCAGGTTTAGAGTAATGGTGTCCTCAGATCAATAGGTTTCCAAGGGAGTCTGACAACAGGTGCAACATGATTGATATGATCAGCAGTGGTGTCAAGGAAGCACTCGGGGACACCCGGGGAGGCCCAGCATAGGGACAAGTAAAGAGACCAAGCCACAGACAGGAAGTCTGTATAGCTAGGGTCCTTGTTGTCCTCCAGTCCATGACTCTCTTGTACCTCACTGCTTCATGGAAGTCGTAATGTCAGGGCTCTTTGCTTGTGTGTGCACTATAAAGACACGAGGCCGTGGTATGGTACAGGGCTAAGCCCACAGCCGCTGACTTCACAACTCCCTAGGCTGGGTGCAGCATGCAAAGCCTATGCGTGACACTGGGTGAGGCTTGCCTTCTGTTTCAAGGCTGCCTTCCGAAGGTGGTTCCCGTGTGACCCTTGGTGAGAGGCAATGCTGTGTTTTTATCCCAGTCCTGCTTTGGTTAAAACCCTAGCTGCCCTTAGGGCCAGCCTTGTCTCCCAATGCCTGGTGGTGCTTCCAGGAGAAGAGGTCTTGCAAGACAACCTTTTACCCCTCGTGGAAACAGTTTAAAGCACAGTGCCGGGGAAAGCCTGCCTTGTACTTCTGTCACATGGGCTAGCTTAGGACAGGCTGCAGTCCCAAGTGCCAGAGGCCCACACATCTGTACCCCCTTCCCTCTGCTGGTGCATCTCTTTTTTCTCAGGCCCCTCCCCTTTGACCACTATGCACTTCCCCTAAAATACCTCACGCACAGTCTTGCTCTCTAATTCCTTGTTCATGATCTGAATGGCTTCCTCAAAGATTCTCTCCTGTGGCAGTACAGGCTGGAAGGCCACCTGGACCAAACACCTCTGCAAAGAGACACCTGGCTTGCCAACTCTCCCCCAGAAGCCCAGAGGGTATACCTCTCTTTTCTCATGGTGGTGTGTCTCTCCCTCACCCCCTCTCTCCATTTTTTCCCCCAAGACAGACTCTCTCTATAGACCAGGCTAGCCTCAGACTCGGAGATCTGTCTGCTTCTGTCCCTTAGAGAGCATGTGGCACTGAGCCTGGATGTATTTATCTCAAGATCATTTGTTTTTGAGATTTTAACCTGATCTGCCCTTCCAGGAAGGTTCTCCCTGATGACAGTAGGCTTTAGTTGACTTGAGGTCTGTTTAACTGGAGGTGTTGAGAGCAGAGTCCTGAATGGATCAGAACCGCACCAGACTAGAGTAAGAAGTGAACCAGGGAACAGGGAGTCCTTCCCCATCTGTAGCAAGTCTCCATGGGACAGATCTCTGGAAAGATTCCATGGTGACATGTGGACCGTGTCTCCTTGATGTTCAGGATAGGGAGAGTGTAGGGGATAAAATGATGGATAAGGGGAAGAAGAGAAGACAGAAGAGGGAAAGAGTGAAGAGGGAAGGGAGAGGAGAGGAGAGGGAAACCATGTCTACTTTCCACTACTCCTATTTGGTCCCTGGATCATGTTCCTTGGCCCTGCTGTGGTTAAATACCTGTACTTAGGGAAGGCCAAGCCAGGAACCTTGGGAGAAAGACCGGGAAGCTCCACCTCCTGGCAGGGGCCTATGCTCACCTTTCCGGGTAACACAGTCCCCACAGAAGGGGAGATGGTGATGGGTGAGTTAGGGGGCAGCAGGAACTCGAAGGATGTTGGCCCCACTGGGCTGGCTTCCTCTGAGCCAATCCGAGGCAAGGAGTGGGTTAGCTTGTTCATGCTCAAGTGGGAGTTGATCACATACAGTGTGGACACAGAGGTGTCATACAGGGATGTGGCTGAGAACTTGATCTGGTAGTGGGACAGCTCCAGGGGTGGGTGGACACCTACTGCTTGGCAAGACACCTTGAAGCACCTGGAAGCAACCAATGCGGGCATTGTTCATCTGTGTCATGGCATCTGTGGTCCCTCTGCAACCCTGGGCGAGGAGACACATAGTTCCTCATATGCTAACTATGATGGACAGGTCTGTTGTGCTGGTGACATCCCAGGCACCCAGGACTTATTCCTGCAGTTAATTATTACGGTTATTTACTACCTGACTAACCAGTTTGGAAAAAATCTGTTGGCCGATATATATTTTTGGTAGGTGGTTTAAAAAAAAAAAGCATAAGCAGGAGGCAGAGGCAGGCGGATTTCTGAGTTCGAGGCCAGCCTGGTCTACAGTGTGAGTTCCAGGACAGCCAGGACTACACAGAGAAACCCTGTCTCGAAAAAAAAAAAATCATAAGCAGAATTATATAAGCAAAGTAGAAATCTGTAAGTTGCTTTAAAAATAAGTGGCTTCAGAGATGGAGAGATGGGTAAACCAGTGGCTCTCAACTTTCCCAATGCTGTGACCATTTACTACAGCTCTGCACGTTGTGGTGATCCCAGCTACAAAGTTATTTCCTTGCTACTATTTATAACTGTAATTTGGCTACTGTCATAAATCATGATGTAAATATCTGATTCGCAGGATATCTGATATGCGACCTCCAAAGCAGTTGAAATCCACTGGTTGAGAAATGCTGACTTATAAGTTAGGAGCACTGGCTGTACTTGCTGATGACTCAGGTTCAGTTCCAAGCGCCTACGTGGCCTGGAACTCATAGATCTGCCTGCCTCTGCCTCCCAAGTGCTGGGATTAAAAGCGTGAGCCACCGTGGCCTAGCTCCTTGTCAACTTCTATCTTAATTATGCTTGTTTTCTGTGCTGAGGGTTGAACCTAAGACCTTGTGCCAGCTAAGATGGAGCTTGTCTGTCCAGTTGCACATGGCACTCATTTCATGTGTTGTTTTAACCATTTGTTTTAAATTTACGTGAGTGGCCATTTTGCCGCATGTCTGTGCACTATGTGCTTGCCATGGTCAAAGAGGACATAAGGTTCCCTGGGACTGGGGTTATAGACCATTGTGTGCCACCATATGGGTGGTGGAAATTGAACCCTGGTCCCCTATAAAAGCAACCAGGACTTTTAACTGCTGAGCCATTTTTCCAGTTCTATTACATGTATTTTTAATGCTTCGAACCAGGACATGGATGACCCAACAGACTCTCATCCATAACAAAAGTGTGTTGTGAGCCTGGGGAGATGGCTCCATTGGTAGATCACTTGTCTGGTAAGTAAATAGACCCTTGGAGCTCTTAACCCTTAGAACCTACAAAACAATTTGAGCACAATGGCACATACTTATAATCCCAGCAACTGTGAGATGGGAGGGAAAACCGGACTGCTCTTTGGAAGTGTGATAGCTAGCTAGCTAGCCTGGCCTACTTCATAAAGTTCCAGGCCAGGGAGAAATTTTGTCACAAAGAAATAGTGGAAGGTGCCACACCCAAGGCTGTCTGACTTCCATAGGCACGCACACATGCATGCCCGCACAGGTACCCAATTGTGCATACCATCCATGTATAAAATATGTTCAGATGGTCAAATACTCAAATTTATAAGTTTGTGTCTTCTGGGAAAGAGAGGTCATTACTACTACTTAACTGAATAAATGCATAAAGTATGATAATAACTAAATATAAAATATAAAAATGTACTGGAATCTAACTGAGTTAAAAATTCTAAATATTTCTTCAGTTTGTATGTATGTATATGATATGATATGTGTGTGTGTGTGTGTAAGTATGTGCTTGTACATGCTATAGTGCAAGGGTGGAGGTCAGAGGACAACTTTGAAAGTTGCTTCTTGCCTTCTGCCTTGGTTTGAGGTAGGGTCTCTTTTTGTTTATTTATTTGTTTGTTTGTTTGTTTGTTTGAGACAGGGTTTCTCTGTGCAGCTCTGGCTGTCCTGGAACTCACTTTGTAGGCTAGGCTGGCTTTGAACTCACAGAGATCTGCCTGCCTCTGCCTCCCAAATGCTGGGATTAATGGTATATATATGTCACCATGCCTAGCCAAGGTCTCTGTCTCTCTGTCTCTCTTTGTCTCTCTCTCTCTTATTTAAACATTTTCTTTGTATTTACTTAGTGTATTCGTGTGTGTGTGTGTGTGTGTGTGTATTGTGTGGTACATCTGTGATGCCATATGTGTGGAGGCCAATTCTCTCCTACCAGATTGCCAGGCGAATGCCTTCTCTCACTGGCCCAAGGCTCTGTCTTTTTGCTGTTTTTACTGCTACACATGTCAGGCTAGGTGGTCCTTGGATTTTGTGAGGATTTTACTGTCTCTGTCTCCCAGTTTGACATCCTTACAGCCCTTAAACCTTTTTTGTTTTGTTTTTGAAACAGGATCTCCTTGGTTGGCCAGGAATTCAGTATTTAGACTGGGATGTTCTCAAACTCACAGAGATCTGTTTGCTGAGGGCTGGAATTAAAGGCATGCTTCATTGCACCTGGCTCATATCTTTTTTTTTTTTTTTTTTTTTTTGGTTTTTCGAGACACGTTCAAATCTTTAAATTAAAATTTTGTCGTAAAAACTTTGTGTGTGGCAGGGCAGTGGTGGCACACACCTTTAATCCTAGCAGTGGCAGGTGGATCTCTGAGTTCAAGGCTAGCCTGGTCTACAGAGTGAGTTCCAGGACATCTAGGGCTACACAGAGAAACCCTGTCTCAAAAAAAAAAATTATGTGTGTATGTGTGTGTCCATGTTCAACTGTATGAGTTCATGTGTACCATGTGTGTGCAGGAGTCCGAAGGAAGCCAGAGAAGGCATTATTGCCTAGAACTTGAGTTACAGATGATTGTGAACCACCATATGTGTGCTGGGAACTGAACTGGAGTCCTCTCCAAAAAACAGTGAGCGTTTTTAACTGATGAGCCACCTCTCTGACTCTTTTTTTTTTTTTTTTTTTTTTTTTTTCCGGTTTTTCGAGACAGGGTTTCTCTGTGTAGCCCTGGCTGTCCTGGAACTCACTCTGTAGACCAGGCTGGCCTCGAACTCAGAAATCCACCTGCCTCTGCCTCCCAAGTGCTGGGATTAAAGGCGTGCGCCACCACCGCCCGGCTCTCTGACTCCTCTTAAATCTTAAAAAAGTTTTTTGTTTTGTTTTTTTGTTTGTTTGTTTGTTTGGTAGCCCACGCTGGCCTCAATCACATTATCTGGCCAAAGATGACCTTCACTTTTACTCTCCTGCCTCTGCCTCCCACGTACTGGGATTATCGTCATTTATTAACTGCTTCACGTGGGCCTCAAGCACGTGAAGCAAGAACTCTACCAAGCTCTCAACTTAGAAAGGCCGGCACACTGTAATAACATCAGACCTCCCAGCAGAAACCCGGGAAAGCCTTGACAAGGGGTAAGAGTGAATACTTACACCAGGATGCTTTTCACAGTGTACTGACGCGCGCACACAAGCTCATGTTCACGACACTCATGTTTAGCAGATCATTGTTTTCTTATCTCCCCACGTACAAGGGTAAAACGGGTACAAGGTCAAAGGTCATGGGAACCCAAAACCTATCTCTTCCTGGATCCTGGGCTCCTATTGGCCAGCAGGGCTGTCCATTCCAGCCCCGAGGTCAGCCTAGTGAGAGCTGAGGAGAGGAGGGGCGGAAAGGAAGGCACGGGCCACGTGCCCCCTCTCTTGTCTAGCAGGCTTACCGGTTTATCTCAGATTTGCAGACTAGATCAAATTTGTATTCCCTGGCCTTGATGGGCTGGAAGATCAGATTGAGTCGCAACGTTTCCAGTGGCAAAATTGTCCCAAACCCGTCATTGGGCTGGATGTCCATATACTGGAAGATGGGAACACATTAGAGTGAAAAAATGAAAGCCGCGCTCTGTAGAGTCAGAAATGATGTACCCTGTGCGGGGAAGTGAGATGTGAACATGCTAGTTTTGGAGCACACAGGGAGGGTATGAAAGATGCGTGTGTGCCCGTGTGAGCGTGAGTGAGTGAGTGAGTGAGTGCTCGACCTTACTGAGGGTGGGGGCAAAGTGAGCTGAGTGTGTGGGAATGGGTAAGGGACAAGCTAGCTACTTAGGCTGATGGCAGCCAGGCCTGGGCATTCATTTAAGACTGTCCTGTGAGGCTTGGTCAGGTTTAGTCTTGGAAAGCGGGGGGGGGGGGGGGGGGGGGGGGATCGAGCAAAATAATTTTTGGGTGTACCTTACAGCCAAAAAACAAAAGACCTTGATAGGAAGCCTTTCCCTCCTGGACAAGGAGAGGGAGGGTCAGCTGGGAGGTACAAGGGCAGCAGAGTTGCTGATGGCTGGGCCTGGCGAGCAGCTGTTAATGTCCTACCCCATATCCCCAGGGCTGACCGCAGCAGATACCTTGGGAAGTCCAACGAACCCAAACTCCTGGGGCAACAGTGAGAGGTTGCTGAGGCGGACTTCTGTCCTGATAGCCTCATAGATGGTGCAGTAGCCAAAGTTTATCTCTGAGGGGTTGATTTCCAAGTCTGAGGTGGTAACGATGGCTTGGACAGTGAATCTCACTGGTTTGATCTGAGGTTCGGAAGGCAAAGGACGTTCCCGGCCACTGAAGCTTTATGCAAAAGCCCCCAGGTAATAAAGGCTGCCCCTGTTGCTTTGTGGCCAACAGTATTCTATTTCTGGGACATGACTTCCTCAGGCGACCCACTCCTCAGTGTATCCTGGTGAAGGAGTGAGCATCTGGGGCAGAGGTCCATGGTGAACATTAGAGGAGGGGCAGGCAGCAGTGTAAAGGATGAGCTGTGGTAATCAGTGCATGGGGCTATGTGTGCGTGAGTTGTTTATAAGCACACGCGTGTGTGAAGCCCTGTCGACGAGAGCATGTGTATCTATGTGTGCGTGTGTAGTGCATTCATGTGGCAACCCTGTTCAATTTTGCAGGCATGTTTCTTGTGTGCATATGTGAGCGAAGTATCTGAATCAGCATGCTTGGACTAGAATAAGAGGGGCCTCTTAACGGCCCACACGTGCCCCCTTCATTTCGTACTATGTAGGGGTTGTGTGGATAGATGGCAAAGTTGCCTGTCAGGCTGCTGGGCATCATCAGCTGGGAAATGAGGATGGGTTCTGAAATCGGGGTTCTATGTGTGTGGGTAGACTCATTGGGGGTACAGGGTTTGGTCTCCCACGGCAGCCACCTGGTCCCTGGGGACAGTTTCAGAAATCATCCTGTACAGACCTGGTCAGCTACCCGGATGGTCATTGGAGCCTCCAGGACTCGACTGGCGGGGTCAAAATACTTCCTTGCATCTTCTGGGAGGGTTTGTCTGCAAGAGGTAGGATCCACTTGAATAGACTTTTCCTCTTTATACTTTTTACAATAAAACTGTTCTAAAATCTAAGGGCGAGGGCAAATAAGAACAATTCATATAACAATTCATGTAACATATGTATCATGATGTATGTATGAATTGACATAAGGAAACCCATTCCTTCATATACTAACTTTTTTTGTTTTTTGTTTTTTTTGTTTTGTTTTGTTCTGTTTTTCAAGACAGGGTTCCTCTGTGTAGCCCTGGCTGTCCTGGAACTCACTCTGTAGACCAGGCTGGCCTCCAACTCAGAAATCTGCCTGCCTCTGCCTCCCAAGTGCTGGGATTAGAGGCGTGCACCACCACCGCCCGGCCCTTTATATGTTCTTGAGACTCCTTCCCTCTTGTTGGGTTGCTTTGTCCAGCCTGAATTTTTTTTTTTTGCCTTGTCTTATTGTATCTTGTGTTGTCCTATTTGGCTGCCATTTTTTGGAGGCTCCATCTTTTTTTTTGTTTTGTTTTATCAAGACAGGATTTCTCTGTGTAGCCCTGGCTGTCCTGGAACTCACTCTGTAGACCAGGCTAGCCTCAAACTCAGAAATTCGCCTGCCTCTGCCTCTCAAGTGCTGGGATTAAAGGCGTGCACTACCACCGCCTGGCTGGAGGCTCCATCTTTTCTGAAAGGAAATGGAGGAAGATCTGGAGGAGGGGGGATTAAAGAGGAGGGGAGGGAGCGGAAACTGTGGTTGGAATATATAGTATAAGAGAAGAATCTATTTTCAATTTTAAAAAATTAAAAATTAATTAGCTTGGCTTAGCCAGATGTGGTGGCATATGCCTCTAATTCCAGCACTTTAGTGGCAGAGGCAGGTTATTCTCTTTGTGTCTGAGACCAACCTGGTTGCCATAGTGAGATCCTGTCTCAAAAAAGTACCGAAAGTGGGGCGAGGGGGGCTTGGTTTAATTATCCCACATTTTCCTGTTTCCCACCTATTCGCTATGTGTATCAAGACATCATATTTTATCCCATAAATATGTGCAATCATAATTCTACAATAAAATTAAAGTTTTATGGTTTAATTTTGAAGGGGAACTCGTGTATCACTGCTCATGTGTCAATGTCAGGGGTAACTGGAAGAAGCTTGATCTCTCTTCCCTTGTAGATTCTGGTACATGAACTCAGGCTGTCAGGCAAATCATCTCTCTCTCTTTTTTTTTGTTTTTTCTTTTTTTGTTTGGTTTTTCGAGACAGGGTTTCTCTGTGTAGCCCTGGCTGTCCTGGAACTCACTCTGTAGACCAGGCTGGCCTCGAACTCTCAAACTCAGAAATCCCCCTGCCTCTGCCTCCCAAGTGCTGGGATTAAAAAGGCGTGTGCCACCACCGCCCTGCAAGTGTTTTTTTTTTTTTTAAGATTTATTTATTTACTTTTAAAGATTTATTTATTTATTTTATATATGTGAGTACACTGGCACTCTCTTCAGACACACCAGTAGAGGGCATCGGATCCTATGACAGATGGGTGTGAGCCACCGTGTGGTTGCTGGGAATTCAACCCAGGTCCTCTGGAAGAGTAGCTAGTGCTCTTAACCTCTGAACCATCTCTCCAGCCCATAATAAGAATTTTAATGACAAAAAATAATAAACTGATAAAGCGTCTATTATTTGAAGGAATCCTAAAAGTCCTTCCCTCACAAAAATCACTTTAAAAGCAGGTTGCTCATGGGACTGGTATATGACTCAGTGGTAGGTAGAGTGCATGGCCTGGGGTTCGATCCCCAATACAGAAACACACAGTGTTGGGTGGTATACACCTGTAATAGGCCAGAAGACCATAATGTAAGCTAGGCAGCCTGAGATACTTTGTTATGACTCTTGTCTTGAAAAGTTTATTTTTTTTTATTATAAAAAGAATGTGTCATTATAGAAATAAAAAAAAAATACAGAGAAAAAAAAAGTCCCCGTTTACCATGATGGGAAATCTGCAAGAATGTCCAAGAAGCAGCTCAGATTTTTAAAATCAGCGTCAGCTCCTCTTCAGTACCCTGTGAGTGTGCGGCCTGGTGGCAGATCCCCCTTGGCCACCCAGCTCCGCAGCTACACCTACTTCTCTGGTCCAAACTCTGTTGACAGCCTAGGTTCTATATCTTAGCCCTGAGAAATTGGTTCAGTGGCAGGATCCAAGCAAGGGTCACTTTAGGGTAATAGAGCGGCCAAAGTGAAAAAGCAGGACTCTTGGTTTCCAAAGCACCAAAAAAGTTTAAGTCCATCTGAGGAAAGGCAGAAGCCAAAGAAAGGACACACCACATAGCAAAACGGCCTGGACACTGGCTGTACAGGCATCTCAAGGGCAAGAACCAAGAAGGACTCTGGAACAGTAGGATGCAGGGAGAACTGGGAGACAGGAACACTTCATAGAGCTTAGTGACAGAGGTAAGGAAACAAGCTTCAAGCGTTCGCTCCAGCCAGACGCAGAGCCTCGGGGACCAGGAGGAAGAGCAGGGTGCTCGCTGAGTCTGAGCAGCAGTCAGGGTAGGACCAACGTGTGGAAGGTCGGGGGTTGGTTCTTGTTTTTGGCAGACGTAGGTTCCGGATGCTGTGACCAGCATGCCCATCCCCCTCTCATCATACTTCGGTCCCACCCCTTCCCATCATGCTCCAGGGCTTTCCCAGTTCTCACCGAGGCAGGAACTTGAGCTGTACTGAGTAGGTGGACTGGGCCTGGATGTAGCCCGTTTCTGGCAGAAGCTCTATGTGGCCTCTCAGCTCCTTACAGACTTCAAACTTTAGGCGCAGAGCTGCTTTTGATCTGCAAGAGGTCACGGATGACTGTGCATGCTTAATCCTTTGACTCATTAAGGTATTTGTAATGATAGAACCGGCATGCGTATGCAGTGTACCTGTTACTCATAGCAGCACACCGATGGTTAGAAAGCAGCTTCAACACTGTTTCTTAAGGGATGTGTTGTTTGAAATGAAATTTGATTAACTTAAAAAAAAAATTATTGTTGGGCCAGAGAATAGCGCAGTGTTAAGAATACTTGCTGCTTTTGCAGAGGATCGAGCACCAACATGGTGTTTCATAGCCATCTATAACTCTGTAGCTCTAGGGGAACTGATACCCTCTTCTGACCTCCGTGGACACCAAGCATGCACCGAGTGGTACACATACACACAAACAGGCAAAAAGCCAGACATAAAATAAAATGAATATATATATATATATATATGTATATATATATATGAGACACTCTCTTTATATAGTCCTGGAACTTGTTATACAGACCACACTGTCCTTGAACTCACAGAGATCCTCCTGCCTCTGCCTATAATAAATTTGTTAGTTTTCAAGACAGGGTTTCTCTGTATAGCCCGGGCTGTCCTGGAACTCACTCTGTAGACCAGACTGGTCTGGAACTCAGAAATCTGCCTGCCTCTGCCTCCCAAGTGCTGGGATTAGAGGCGTGGGCCACCACTGCCCGTCTGTAAGTTTTTTAAAATCAAAATTATTGCTGCTGTTGTGACCCCAGGGAAAACCCTTCTTCCAAGGCTCAGACTCCTCTATTAACTGGGTTCCCCCAGACTCCTTCATTAAACAGGTTCCCCAAGACTGACAGCACACTCCCATCCTGTGGCTCTCTGGTTCCCAAAGAGGAGTTTGCGGAACATCACAAGCTTCACCTTCACAGATGGAGAAAAGGCCTGACAGGAACCATGCCGGGGTAGTACGGTTCTTCCAGGTCATATGTGATAGCTGCCATGGGTGAGGGGTGGTGACAGGGGCTTGGTGTGGCAGCATCTGCCCTTTGGTCTGGGGACCAGTGGTTCAAAGCTGCTGAAGTCGTGAAACCTTGGATGCTTCTATCTCAGTTTGTACTTCAAGGAAAATACTGTCAATCTAACGTCTGATGTCTTTCGTTGGGCCTCTTCTGCTCTCTCTGTTGCTACTATGTCCTATATCCTTGGGGCACTTGAGACCCTTGCCTAGTACCCAGGGCATGCAGCAAGTGTGCTATGGCTGCTGAAATGGTTTCCACAAACCCAGACCTAACACATTACGAGTAATTTTCTTAGCATCTCAGAGGGCAGAGGCCAGAGGGGGACTAGCTAGACTAAAGGTCAAGATGAGGTAGGACTGGTTCCTTGGGAGATTGCAGAGTGTGATGGTTTGACACTCCCCTCCCCCTTTTTTTCACCCTTTTAGGTTCTGGCATTCCATAGCTCATGGTCTCTTCCTCTGTCAGAGATCTGTCTCTGTCACTGACTCTCCTGTGTTCCTCTACAATGACTTGACAACACCAGGATCTCCAGGATAGTTAGGATTACTTTCTTCAAGGTCCATAGCCTAATCAGCTGCTGAGCCCTCTGCCATCTAAGGTGACCGTTCAGAGCCAGCATGTAGCCAGCTCCAGGCATGATACTCCTTCTGGTCACCGCGGGGGCTTACCTTGTGTGGACGGTGATGGAGTCCTGGTAGAGTCGGTCATACATGCAGATCTTCAGGTCCACCGTGGACTTTGGCACCCAGACTGGCACATCTATGCCAGTACCGGTGGCTCTGAAATATAGCTGAGGCAGAACATGTAAAACCCAACATAGGTTTAAATCGCAGTGTAGGAGACCGCAATGAATGTTAACACAATACTTAGCAAAAAGTCTCATGGTTGGATTTTTGCAACTTACTGTATTACAGGTCTGAGGCTAATGATTAAACATGGCGTGCGTTAAAGGGTTTTGTGATTTTTTTTTTTAAATGTGATTATCCTTTTCTGTGGGAACCAGAGAATTGTTGCAGACCTTTTGCAGAGCCATTGTGTGCGGCATGAATCCCGGAGCAATGGCTCCCAGGCTTTGAGGTAGCCTTTTGTAAATAGTCAGTGGTTGTATCTGAGGTTTTATGGGGGTTCTTTTGGAAGGATTCACAGTCTTTGAATAACTTAGTCCCCAGAGGAGATCAGGAAGTCTTCTGTGGCTAAGAGTTTTTTAGGTAATGGTTCCTTCACACAACTCCTAGACCAGATAAAAGGTTTTGATGTGCAGACACTGGCTTGCTGGAAGTGTCTTTGTGTAATGATAAAGAGGCCCTGCAAAGTGGGTTTGGGGTTCGTTCAGTCCTGCAGAGGCTGACCATCCTCCCATGCTGCCTGAAATTCATCCTGTCTTTCTTCGTTCAATCATCTGAGCAACCCAAAACACTGACAGAGAATAATCTATAATAGTGATACTTCTGCATTTGAATGAGTTTTATTAAGTGTATAGCAAGCCAAGGTGAAAGACAGATTGGTCTATAGATAGGTGGTGGTAAAACATTATCGAGTTTGGTGCTCAAAATATTCAGCGGATTTAGGGTGTGGTGGCACACAACTTTAGTCCCGTTATTTGGGAGTCAGAAGGCAAGCAGATCTCCGTGAATCTGAGGCCTTTTTCAGTCTAAGTTGAGAGTTCCAAACAAGCCAAGGCTACAGAGAGAAGCCCTGCCACCACCACCACAATCCATCAGAAATCAACTGGGGTACCCTGTTGAGGGAGTCAACTGGAGTTCCCACAGAGAAAGTCTTGGAGAAAGAGAGAGAGAGAGAGAGAGAGAGAGAGAGAGAGAGAGAGAGAGAGAGACACTGACTCTCTAGATGAATCTTCCAAGCAAAAGAACAAATAACAGCAGATGGTAACATCATCAAGTCCAGAGAAAACAGACTGGGAACTGATGGCAGCGATCTGTCCCTGATGGTGGTGATCCGTCCACAGCTGAGCAGTCAGTCCCTCGCTGACAGCACTTTAAACAGCACCATGGCTCTTCATTAACTACCCGCTGCAGTCAGAAGCTTTTCTGACCGAGGTTGGGGAGCAGCACAGATTTATACATTGCGTAAATATAAATATTTAGAAGGTGGTTAGACCACATGAACATGGCAGTGGATGGCCGCCGGATGAGAGACAGTCGCCTTCTAGACTGTCAATAGGGTTAAGTTGATGTGGGAGTTAGTGGGTAAGAGGTTTTCTTTTGCATAGGCTAAAGAGCTTGTGCCATTCAAAATGTTCCAATTATCAAGTCTGAGGGCACAGGGTTGCCAAAAAGTGCAATCTATTTCTGGATCGGAGACAAAATCAGAAAACATTCCAGGGACACAGTTCCGCAGGGGAGCAGGAGTCGTGGGGTCAACATGACATTGTCTCTGAGCCCGCACAGGCTGGCTGAGATGCTAAGGGGTCAGTGCAAGCCTATTACAGCAGAGACTAGGTCCTATGGAGCATGTGGGGGTCTTAGATCTGGAGGACAGACACAAATGACGAAAAAGGAGAAGTTCTAGGAGTCTCAAGAAGCAAAGTCACAATTCATGGGTGGTCCAGCTAGGATGGATCCTCCTCTTGTCCTTTTCCTCCTCCTCTTCGTCCTCATCCTCCTTGTTCTCACCCTCCTCTCCTCCTTGCAAGCTATCTAATTTATTTCTACTATTTTGATAGTTTACATTTTTGGATCTTCAAGACAGTTTTTTTTTTAATTGTTCTTAGTGGCATTGTTGAGGTACACCCAGTAAACACTGCATGTTCATTTTGAGCAACCAGAGTCCTCAGATAAACCTATTACCTACTTTGTCACTGGGAGGGATTGGTCCTCAACCCCCGGGGGGCAGGGAGTATAGGAGTGGATCACGGTACATCCATGGGACAGCGGGTAGGGTGTGAGTCTGGCAGTGTGGACTCTGTCAAGGGAGAGTTAAAAGAATGAAGGAAGCTAGGGACAGGAGCTAATACCTGGGTCCTTTTCCCTGTATACAGGCTACTCCCTCCACAAACAAACAAAAAGAGCCAGATAGGGAGAGAGGACAAAACAAAATGACTGCAAAATGGAGTGACAAGGGGAGTTTGTTTTGGGCAAAAAGGGTAACTCAAACTGAAGAAGTGTGTAGTCCCTCATGTACCAACCAGTAAAGCTGCTCTATGATGTGTGACACCTGGACATGTAAAACATAAACAGAAAGGGAGAGAGATGTCATAGGATGGACAGGAGGGAAGTGACCCTGTTACCACGTTTGTTTACAGCTTCACAGCAGAGACACCTTTCTTGCAGCTGCTCATAGTTTCTGGATAAGCCTTGCCTCTGGTTAACAAAGAAAACTTTAAACACTTTTAATATTAAAAAGAGACAGGTCACCGTTTTGGGGACCTGACACCCTGACACAACTCGTTCTTTTGGGCAGGAGACCCTGGCCGGAAGTCGAGGTAAGAACATACGCAAGTTATACATCAAGCTAGAGGCATGATGGGCATTGATACTGTTAGCACGTGTTCCTGGCTTAGGGGCAGGCTCACTAAGACCATTCTCCACTGCCTGCTGCATACAGATGAAGACGGGTGTAACTCAGAGGTAAGGCAGTAGGACTTGGTAGAGCCTCTGCCATCATCTCCGCCTCTCTGTAGGTAACCCATAGTAACAAATCATCTACGCTCAGCAAGATGGATTGTCCAAACCATTCTTTGAGCTCTCCTGTTGTTCCATTTCAGAGAACAGTTCTTCTGTTTCTTTTTAAAAATTTCTTCTTCTCTCATATACTACTTCCTGACTGCAGTTTCCCCTCCCCACCCCTCCCCCTGATCGACTCCTCTTTAGTTTCTCTTCAGAATTCAGCAGACTTCCCAGGGATATCAACCAAATGTGGCATAACAAGTTACAATAAGACTAGGCACACATATCCTCATACCAAGGCTGGATGAGGGAACCCAGTAGGAGGAAAGGGTCCCAGAACAGGCAAAGGAGTCAGAGTCAGCTCCCCCCTGCCCTCACTGTTAGGAGTCCCATAAGAACAACAAGCTATGCAACAACAACATATATGCAGAGGACCTAGGTCAGATCCATATGGGCTCCCTGTTTGTCGGTTCTGTCTCCGTAAGGCCCTATGAGCTCTGGTTAGTTGATTCTGTGGGCCATATTCTTGTGGTGTCCCTGACCCCCCTCTGCCTCCTACAATAGCCAGTGCTTGGTTCTATCCTAGGTCTCTGGGCTATCCAGCCTCCGGTTCCTTGCTCTCCAGGCAATGTCAGGCATGGGCTCCCTCTTGTGGTGTGAGCCTCCAGTTGGACCAGGCATTGCTGGCCACTCGCATGATGAGTTCTGCACCAGCTTTACCCCCAGCACATCTTGCAGGTAGAGCAAGTTGTAGGTTGAAGGTTTTGTGGCTGGGTTGGTGTCCCAATCCCTTCACTGGAAGCCTTGTCTGGTTACAGAATTTGCCCGGTTCAGGCTCTGTATCCCCCATTACTAGGAGTCTTCACTAGGGTCACCCACGTAGATTCCAGGAGTTTCCATTGCACTAGGTTTCTGCCTGGCCTGAAATGTCCTCCGACTCCAGTCATCTCTCTCCCTCCACCTCCTGACTGGATCCCTCCTGTTCCCGTTTCCACCCGCCCCCCAGTCCACCCTTGAAATCTATTATTTTATTTCCCCATCCCAGGAAGATCTATGCATCTCCCCGTGAGCTCTCTTGTTATGTATTCCCTCTCGGTCTGTGGATTGTAGCGTGATTATCCTTTATGGCCGATATCCACCTACGAGTGCATACCATGTTTGTCTTTCTGGGTCTGGGTTACCTCACTCAGGACATATTCTTTTTTTCCTAGTTGAGTATTTGCCTGCAAATTTCATGATGTCATTAAAAAAAAAAACTCCATATGACATTACGTTCAAAGTCTTTAGAGAATTGTGTTGGAATTTTGATGGGGATTGCGCTGAATTTGCTTTTGATAGGATGGCCATTTTTACTATGTTAATCTTATAGATCCATGAGCATGAGAGATCTTTCCATTTTCTGGTATCTTCTTTAATTTCTTTCTACAAAGATTTGAGGGACTGGAGAGATGGTTCAGCAGTTAAGAGCACTGACTGCTCTTCCAGAGATCCCGAGTTCAATTGCCAGCAACCACATGGTGGCTCACAACCATCTGTAATGGGATTAAATGCCCTCTTCTGGTGTGTCTGAAGAGAGTGACAGTGTACTCACATACATAAAATAAATAAATATTTAAAAAAGAAGATTTGAAGTTTTTGTCCTATAGGTCCTTCATTTGTTTTGTTACCCCAAGATATTTTAGATTATTCGTGGCTATTGTGAAGGGTGTTGCTTCCCTGATTTCTTTCTCAGCCTGTTTGTCATTTGTATATAGGAGGGCTACTGATTTTTTTAAATTAATTGTGTATCTAGCCACTTTGTTGAAAGTGTTTATCAGCTGTAGGAGTTCTCTGGTAGAATTTTTGGGGTCACTGATGTATAGTATCGTACCATCTGTGAATACTTTGACTTCTTCCTATCTAATTTGTATGCCCTTGATCAACTTTAGTTTTTTTTTTTTTCCTGCTTGATCAAGAACTTCAAGTACCATATTGAATAGATTTGGAGAGGACGGACAGCCTTGTCTTGTTCCTGATTTTAGTGGAATTTGTTTTTCTTTGAGTTTCTCTCCATTTAATTTGATGTCGGCTATCAGTCTGCTGTAAACTGCCTTTATTATGTTTAGGCATGATCCCTAATCTCTGTATCCCTGATCTCTCCAGGACTTTTATCGTAAAGGGGTATTGGATTATGTCAATGGCCTTTTCTGCATCTAATAAGATGATTGTATGGTCTTTTGTTTGTTTGTTTGTTTGCTTATATGGTGGATTACATTTACAGATTTTCATATGTTGAACCATCTCTGAATCTCTGGGGTGAAGCCCACTGGATCATGGTGGATGATTCTTTTGATGTGTTCTGGATTCAGTTTGTGAGTATTTTATTGAGTACTTTTGCATCTATGTTTATGAAGGAAATTGGTCTGTAATTCTTTTTCTTTGTTGTATCTTTGTGTGATTTAGGTAGTAGAGTGACTGTGGCCTCATAAAATAAATTTGGCAATGATCCTCTTGTTTCTGTTTTGTGGAATAATTTGAGGAGTATTGGCATTAGATCTTTGAAAGTCTGGCCCTGGGTTCTTTTTGAATGGGAGAGTTTCAATGACTGCTTTTACTACCTTAGGGGTCATCAGTCTATTTAATTGTTTATTTGATTTAACTTTGGTAAATGGTATTTATAGAGAAAATCATCCATTTCTTTCAGGTTTTCCAATTTTGTGTAGCACAGATTTTTGAAGTAAGACCTAATGATTCTCTGGATTTCCTTGGTCTGTTATGTCTCCCTTTTCATTTTTGGTTTTTGTTAATTTGGATATTGTCCCTCTGTCTTACAAAGAACCAGCTCTTTGTTTCATTGAGTTTTTGTATTGCTATCTTTGAATTCAGCCCTCAGCGGGATTGTTTCCTGCCGTCTACTCCTCTGGGTGTGTTTGCTTCTTTCAGGTGTGCTGTTAAGTTGCTAGTGTACGATCTCTCCAGGTTCATTATGAAGGCACTCAGTGCTGTGAGCTTTCCTCCTAGCACTGCTTTCATTGTGTCCCATAAGTTTGCATATGTTGTGCATTCTTTAGTCTCTGTCTCTGTCTCTGTCTATCTCTGTCTCTCTCTGTCTCTGTCTCTCTGTCTCTCTCTGTCTCTGTCTCTCTCTGTCTCTCTCTGTCTGTCTCTGTCTCTGTCTCTCTCTCTCTCTGACTTGACCCAGTGGTCATTCTGTAGAGAGTTGGTCAGTTTCCATGATTTTTTTCCCTCCAGACAGGGTTTCTCTGTGTAGTCCTGGCTGTCCTGGACTCACTCTATAAGTCAGGCTGGCCTCAAACTCACAGAGTTTGCATCTGCATCTGCATCCAAAATTCTGAGATTAAAGGTGTGAGCTACCACTCCCTGGCTTAATTAGTCGTCTTTATTTTATGTGTATGGGTGTTTTTCCTCCATGTATGTCTGTGCACCAATGTGCATGTAGTGCCCGTGGAGGCCAGAAGAGGGCGTCAGATACTCTGGAACTGGAGTTACAGATGGTTGTGAACCAACATGTGGGGTGGTGGCTGGGAATCCAACCTGAGTCTTCTACAAGAACAGTCAGTAAGCCACCTCTCCAGCCCCTGAGATTGCTTCCTTACCCATCCTTGGGGAGTTCACATTAACCAAGCGATCATCTTCTCTCATCATAATTTAGTAAATCTATAAGATTATAAATTAAGAAAGACGTTTCTAATAATTAAGAGCAGGGGTTTAGGGGAGCTGGAAAAACAGCTCAACAGGTGAAAGTCTGGCTGTGTGAGCATCAGGCCAGAGTTTGGGTTGCCAGCACTCACAGAAAAGCCCAGTGGGCATGGTGGCCCTCCTGTAATCCCAGGATGCAGAAGATAAGGGATCTCTTGAGCAAGCTGACGAGCTAGGCTAGCTGCATCAGTGTGCTCTGGTTCAAGTGAGAAACCTTGCCTTGGAATGTGACGTGGATAGCGATCAAGGAAGAGGCCCAGTATCAGCCTCTGGCCTCTGTAAACACACATGTGCATACATTTGTACACACATGTGTGACCATATGCATGAACTCTCATTCACAGGCATGTACATCAAATACATGCAAAACTTACAAGCAAGAGTATGGGTTAGCGTATGCAGGTGAGCATCTGAACACGTGTGTGCACATGCATGTTATTAGCTGAGGTGTCAGCCGTCTGTGCCACCCACTAAAGATTTAAGCAAGAGCAAGTGAAAAACCTCATGTCACCAAAAGCAGCTGTCTGATGTAGCTGTGGGGATCAGTCACATCAGGTAGCATCAGGGGTACTCACCGTTGGACTCTGTGGATTCTTAAACATGACCTTGAACTTAGTATGGACCTCTCCTGGGATAACTGGGGTGAAGGTAATGGGCACTTTGACAGAACTGAAGGGACCAATTTCTCCCTCTGTCACCTGTGTAAGGACAGGAGTGCCATGAGGTCAGAACGTATGCTTCGTGGTTTTTATTAGGGTGTTTCTTTCTAACCCTGATGCTTCCTACCACTGCATGGATGGTTGGGAGCAGGACCATGTCCTTAGGTTGTCCATTTGGTCACATACAGGTATTATTAGTTTTAAGGTTGTCTCTTCTCCTGAATGCTTACTGCTGTGGAGTCCCAGCAGACTGGGAGTTAGGGCCCATGCCACGCAGCAGTGAGTCACCTGTGTGCTTTTCACACACCCTCAGCCCCCTCCCCCACCAGAGGCCAGGCCCTTATCACCAGTGTTAGTAGTGGGAAGAGCTTTGTAGAAGCTGGCTGCATTTTTAAATCTTGTGTACAGGATACACAATTCCCTACCACCCTATCCTATCTCTAAGCTCCAATGGGACTTTCAGAGATCCCATTCCTGATACTAAGGTTCATAATCCACTTGGACTGGGACAAGAAAGGCAGCCTGAACTTTTCTATGCATCTTCCTCCACATTTTAGCTAGGGAGGGCTCATTGTTGGTGTCTTCTCTAAGGACTACACACAGAAAACTGGCTCCCCTGCTCTGGTCCTACCTACACTGGACATGGGGAGGGGATGCCTTGGTACCAGACAAGAGATGCCTGGAGACTGTGGGTTTAGTCTGGCTCTGGACAGATGAAAGGGTCTCCTGAGAGTAGGGAGTTTCATCGATCAAAGACCGTGTGGCTAGGGATGGAGAAAGATGAGCTGCTACCTGGCAGGGCAGGTGGACTGACCTCCCCCAGTGTGATCTCTGCCTGCTCCTCACTGGGAATCACGGTCATGGCACTGACTGCAGCTGTAGTAACCTCTGTTTCTGGAAGACATATAAGCCTATATCAGTAATCAGTCAAAGATCAACAGAGTGAATAAGCTAAAAATGCATAAGGCTTTCTTGCTGCAAACTCTGAGGCACTGCTAAGGGAAAATAAAGATCATGGGACACACTGGGTCACCATCCTTATGAGTTCAAGACTCAATATGCCAAGATATTATTTCCAAACTGATGACATTCAAAGCTATAGTAATTATATTCATTCCAGGCTTTTTTCTTTGTTTTTCTTTTCTTTATTTTTGTTTTTGTTTTTTCAAGATGGTGTCTTTGTGTATCTTTGGCTGTCCTGGACTTGACTTGATTTGTTTGAGAACCAGGCAGGCCTCAAACTTACTGAGATCTGCCTGCCTCTGTTTCCTGAGGACTGGGATTAAGGGCATGAGCCACCATGCCCAGCCTTCATCTTTTTTTTTTTTCTTTTAAAGATAAGGTCTGGTTTAGCCAGGGATGACCTTGAACTCAATGACCTTCAAACTCCTGATCATTTTGCCTCTATTTCCAAGGTGCTGGGATTATAGATATGTATCAATGTACTAACATGTCTGGCTTTGTGTGTGTGTGTGTTTGTGTGTGTGTGTTACTCAAGAAACAGATTCTAAAATGTATCCAATAATGCAAGGAACCGATGCAATGCAAAGCAACTACTTTGAAAGAACAAAGTTGGGTAACAGGTACTTCCTGGCTTCAAGACCTAATCTAAGTTCATGATAACCAAAAAGTATATTAGTATAAGATAAATTGACCAACTGGTTAAAAACAGCTTAAAGCACATTCCTGCTTAGATAGTCAGTAGATTACTAGCATAAGTAACATATCCATCCAAACATATATTTCTTTTGGTTTTTTTTTTTTTTTTTTTTGGTTTTTCGAGGCAGAGTTTCTCTGTATAGCCCTGGCTGTCCTGGAACTCACTCTGTAGACCAGGCTGGCCTCGAACTCAGAAATCCGCCTGCCTCTGCCTCCCAAGTGCTGGGATTAAAGGCGTGCGCCACCACCGCCCGGCTCATATATTTCTTTTATTGTTGTTTTTAGACACAGTCTCTCTGTGTAACCCACTCTGTCCTGGAACTTGCTTTGTTGACCAGACTGGCCTCGAACTCAGAGATCCATGTGCCTCTGCCTCCTGAATGCTAGGATTAAAGTTGTTTGCCACCTCTGCCCAGTCCAAACATATATTTCAGAGAAAATTTCAAGAACAAGAGGCTATCCTCACAGAAACTGAGACTCAGTCCCTGTTTAGTGCCACAAACAAGAGCTAATTTGAATGAGCCAGTGCTGAGGGGTTCAGCTGCCTCTCCATAGATGTCCCACCCTGTGTTCCAACCTGCCTGCAGCCAGTTCCCATAAAGGAAGTACATTCCCTATCCAGTCCTCTACTCTTTTGACTCTCTTGCTGATCCGGGTAAGCTTGAGGATCTGCTTCCTCCTGGGAATGAGAATTGTATCCGCCTATGAACTGGACAGAGAGGGAGACCTGCACACATCGTTTTCTGTTAATGAGAATGATAAAAAGAAACCAGTGAAGGCATGTAAGAAGAAAGTGTGCGGCCGTGGGGTCGTTGCACACACCAAACACGGAGAAGTAACTCGGCTTCAGCCTCACGGTGGGAGAAAGCATGCCAGCACCAGGTAGAGACGGGATATGCTGAGGGTGATTGATCTGCTGGAGACTTGTGGGTTTTAAGTGCTTGTGGGTCTGAGGCTTAAGGGACAATCCCTCGAAATGAGCGGAGTTTGGACTACAGTGAACCAAGAGGAACTCTTCAGTACAACTTTTTAAAACTTTGAAATAGACTACTGACTTAACAGTAAGGTGTATGTGTCACAGTTGTGCAACGTTGGCATGAGGAGGACACACATACACAGACAAAGCAAATGGTAAGTTTGGAAATCTTAAAATAAAAACTGCAGCTACATACCTTTAGTCCTAGCACTTGGGAGGCATCAGCAGGTGGATGTCTGAGTTCAAGGCTAGCCTGGTCTAGCCAGTGTGAACTCCAGGATAGCTAGGGCTACAAAAACATGTTTTGAAAAAGAAAGAACCCACAACAAAACAAGAAACAAGGGGGGAGGATGGAAGAAAAGAAAGAAAGAAGGAAAGAATGAAGGTAAGTAAGTAAATGGGTAAATGAGGAGACAAGTCCAGTCAGGGTCACAGGGTCACAGGGTCACAGGGTCACAGGGTCACAGGGTCACAGAGTGGCCAGAAGCTGCATTACAGTAAGGACAAGTGCCTTGACAAGGTACTTGTTTTTACACTCAGCATTGGGATTGTTCAGTTTGAAAAAAACTGTTCCTTCTCAATACTTATGTGTGGTGTGAACCAAGAACCCTCCTCATAGCCTGGTTGCCCTGATAAACACCTGATAAGCACCAGTAGGGACCGTAGGTGGTGCCTTCAAAGCCTTCAAATCTGCACACCCTGTGACCATCCTGGCTGTTCAAAGCTGGGGCTTCTGTTGATGCTGTTAGTTTCAACACAAATAGAATTTCAATGTACACCGCACCCAGTGCATGTTTTTCACGTCTGAGTACTTTTTATATTTACTGTCTCATAACTGAAGCCTTGAGAAAACTCTGCACTTTGACCTCCAGCGCTCCTTGGCTCACAGGCCTGTCAGTCTTTAGTTGAGACTCTGGCTCTCTGGCCCTTCTGGTTGACCTGTGCTGAGCGTGGCTCCTGGACGGCTTAATTTTGGGAGGCCCTTGTGTCCACGTCAGCCCTCTTTATTGCCTATTCAGTATGCATCTGAGGCCAAGTGTCCTGGCTGGCTCAGGAGTCAATGTGGGAAGTCTGATGTGACTCTTACTTACAAGGTAAGGAATGCACTTACCATCCAGCTGCTTCTCGGATTCTTTTTGGCTCAGGAGGTCCACTGGGGGTGGGGAGTCATTGACTTCAAGCTGTTGCTCAGAGAGACTGTTAATGATCTTCTCATACAAACTTTTGTCCTCACAGGTGAAGAGGCTGCTCTGAAAGGAAGGTTAGTATCTTCAGTGCCCATTCAACTTTGCAGATAACCTTGTCGCAGGAGAAGATACAATGTATCTGTTCCCAGGGCTCCTGGCTCCATGTGTCTATGGCTCTCATTCCGTCTACCCTGGGTCATTAGACCACAGCATCAACTTGCCTAGGCTAAGAATGACTATTTTATTTTAGCCAGCCAGGCCCCTCTCTGTTATCAGCATCTATGCTCTATCATGGACCTCACCTATCTGTGAGCAACTGAGTCTGCTCTACTTGGTCACTTGTCCGGAGGCTGGCTCTGCTCTCGCCTGGGTTGAGCTGACTATCCTTTCTCCACAGGTGGTTGGAGGCAAAGCTTCTAGATGCCCTGGAGCCTCATGAGCAATCCATCTTCCTGCCCAAAGCAAGCCTGGTTCCCAGTCTCCCCAATCCACCTGCCTTGCTCCCTGGTTCCTTCCCCCACAGCAGCTTGCTGCTCATCCTGCCTTGGCCACAGCTGCCCTATTTGCCCTGACATCTCTTGAGTGAGACTCTGAGGTCTTTGTTGGGGCACCTACACAGAGCCGATAGGATTGCTCCATGCTTCTCAGAAGAATGCTCAAATACTTTAGAAGCAACTAGGGAAAGGTACATCTCCTTTTGTTCACCTACCCCGAATGATCTCCACAATCCATGAACAAGGTGAGCTCATTTCTTGAGTACGATTCCCCTCTGCCCCACCCCCACCCCCAGGCTGCTGCCATTCACTATGGCCCCTGCATAGCCATCTTGGGAAAAGGCAAAAGGTTCTTTTCATGTCTTGGGAAAATGGCCATGGTGTCTCTCACGGAGCTGTCTGATTAGATCCTGGTGGGACTCCCAGTGCTCCTGATCAGGGTGTACCTCCATTCTGCTGCTGTAGCCCCTGAAACCAGGCTGCATGTGTGTCTAGCCAGACATTTTGCTCTCACTGACTTGAGGCTATCTTGACATTTCCCTCTCCCTATCCCCCACCACCCGTTTGCTGACAGCCTTATTTTCTCATCCATCTTTATACATGCGAGGTTGTACACACCCTGTTTTTGTATGTTTTGAGGTTGTGCTGGGATACATGTGAGGTCGTATGCATGGCTGGGAGGCTTCCCACCCTGTCCTTGGATAAGCAGAACCACAGACATCCATGGTAACCATGGCTGCTGGTCAGAAGCTGACAGAACACTCACTATTTTCACGGCAGGCTGGGAGTCATCCATCTCATAGAACTCAGAATCGAGGAGAAACTTGAATTTGGTGCCCAGGCCCCCGACGTTGGTCAATGTGATGATCCGGGATGTGGTCTCACCCACTACATAGCTCCCAAACTCAATGAGCTCCTTGTCAAGGGACAGCTGCCGAAGAACACAAGCGTAAGCCGTGGTGGCCTCTAGCCTGGCTGGATCCTCAGTCACAAAGGGAGGATAGGTCCTTGCAGGAATCGTGGACCAGAGGACCCAATGTCTCACTAGGAGAAGGTTTCCTCTCCTGAATATCAGGTGCAGTCCTAAGAAGGTAGGGGAAACCTGACTCTTCTCCTTCACAGGGATACCTGTGTTTCATGGGCCTCTGTGCACTGTACATCAGGGACAAAGCCCACTTAAGAAATCACAGACTCATATAGTAACCAGGGCAGCTTGGGGATCCTGTGTCTTTTTAAGAAACTCAAACCAGCAGCTCCCTTATTGAGAGACGACAGTAATTCAAAGAGGGGAGTCTGAGAGTGGTGGACAAGCTAACAGCTGTCACTCCTGGATGATGTAAGCTCTGCAGCAGATGCGGGGCCTAGAAGGTAATATTTTTCAGAGTGGGATTGTGGCATTCATGCTCTCCATGGGCTATAGGCCGCAGACTCTCTGTGCTCAAGCTAAGAGTTCCATGTCTGATCATCACCATGGTTCCACAAACGGCCATCTCTCACAAGGCTGTTTTGGGACACCAAATCTAAAGCCAGGGCTCCACCTGCAGTGTCCTTCTCCAGAGATGTGACAATGGGCCACTAAAACAGACAGACCAAAGTATAAAACAGAGTAGTACAGATTTAGGCCAGAAAGGCAAGGCCACCTCTGCCCGCCACAGGTGACTGGCAAGGATTGTCATTTTCCCCACTTGAGACAGCTCTATTTTTGCAGCCCGCCCTAGGTCTGCCCTGGGAGCTCCTCTTGTATGGGTGGGTCTTGGTGTCTGTGACAGGAACGTGGCACACAGCTGGAAGGAGTGTGGGACACATGATGCACACAGCGACAACTTCCTCAAAATGGTTCCTACTTACAGGGAGGAGAGAGGATTAAAGGTGGGAGGGGTGGTAGAGGGGGCGGGACTTAAAGTAATCACAATGTACTCCAGACATGTTGGAAAGTCCTAAAAACCAAAACTCAATAAAAGCCATCTTTTATAACTACTTCTGTTTTATTTTATGTATGAATGTTTTTCCTGCATGTGTGCATGCACACGCTTGCCTGAGTAGTTCGGAGGAAGTAGTAGGATCTCCTGGAACTGGAGTTACAGATGGTTGTGAACTACCATGTGGGTGCTAGGAACGTCTGGGAGAGCAACAGGCAAACAGTTTAAACCAAAGCTATCTTTTTGAAAAGGATACATTGACCTTAACTAGAATTCCTCACTCTCTGCTTCCTGACCCAGGATACTATGTGACCAACTGCCTCCATCTCTTGTAGTCATGGTTTCCCCAACTTTAGGGACCATATCCTCAGACCATGAGCCAGAATAAATCCTTCTTTTCTTAAAAATAATATCATTTTAAAATCTAATTTGACCTAATATCTAATTTAAAGGAAGGCAGGGGACACAAGCACATAATGTTCTAGAGAGTTGTCTGAGTAAGGTTTTATGACCCAGCACCAGAAAGGGGGCCGATATTCTAGGTCAAAAGCCATGAAATGTAATCTCAGTGCATCAGAAGCAACTGCTCTATAAAGAGCAGTGTGGGGACTGTGGCCGCTTTGGCTATGGCTGGTGACAATCAGGAGCTGCGATAGTACTGTTGGTGTGACGTAGACTCGTACCTCAGCTCCCCCTCCTTTCATTGTTCCACCTATTACACCGGAGAAGCCCTCTCTCTACCCCATTGGTTTTGAACTTGTACGTGTGCCTTGGTTTGGCCAATCAATCACTGGGAGATGTGTAATAAATGAAGCAAGACATTTGCTGGTACTGCTGGCTTTGATTTCTACCTGACCAGTCATTTTCCATGAGAACTTCTTGCTAGATAGAGGCTGGAAGCTACGGTCAGGGGCCATGGTGAGATGCTGGGACAGAGCCCCCTGACCCTCCTTAGCCCATGTTAGTCAGATCACAGTAAACCTGTGACAAGCTTATCAGCCTGTGTGGGACTAAAGCCATGCTGCAATCTGTCGCAAACACCGAGTCTGTGTGCTGTGCAGTGTCTCTGGGAAGACATGATGGCATGGTGGGCTCTGTTTATTAAGGATGTTGAGTCTGATGTTGGTAGTTTCCTGTGAAGTAGTCCTACAACACCAAGTTGTGTATAGATGAAGCCAACGAGGCAGTGTTGAAAACTCCGACGTAGGTAATGAGCATATGGAAATTCGCTGCATGATTCTGTTCTTCATCAGGTTTGAAAATTTACTCACAATAAAAATATCTGGAAGCCGGTAGTGGTGGTGTACATCTTTAATGCTAGCACTCAGGGGGCAGAGGCAGGTGGATTTCTCTGAGTTTGAGGCTAACCTGGTCTACACAGTGAGTTCAAGGACAGCCAGAGGTGCATGGTGAGACCCTGCCTATAGGCAGAGGTAGAAGTAGATACACTTGTGTGGTGGCGCTCTGGCCTCATGTCCTTAGAACTCCAAGGCCCTCACCCTGGAGAGAGATTCAGGGAATTGAAACTTACAGAACATTTTTTCGTTGAACATTTCAGTGGAACAGAAAAGGCGCCCGTCTGAGCCAAAAATGAGACATTTCCTTCCAGATCTTTATTTATCTAAAAAACAAAGCAATCCCATGTCTATGATATCTATAATGTCACAGTTACCCAGGCAGCATCTGTATAACTATGCCTGGACCTGCCTGCTACTTGTCTAGTGGACCCCCAGGGGAAGAGTCCTAAAGTGCTCCACATAAGCAAGTCCTGAAGAAACCACATGTCACAGCCCACTGGAGTCCCTTGGGTCAGATCAAACCTTCAGGCAAGCTGTATTAAACTAGCATTGCAGAATGGTGCTGAATTTTGTTGTTGTTGTTGCTGTTGCTGTTATTAAGCTAGAAAAAACCAGCACCTCTGTGTGACCTTTGACTTACCATAGGTTTGAAGGTGACAAGGACTTCACAGGACATGCCAGCTGACATGGGACCAGGGGGGTCAAAGCTGCAGAAACAGGGATTCACAGCACATGGGCAGTTAGGTCACTGTGGAGAGTGGATGCTCACTACACACTCAGCTGGGCCTTTTGGAGTCTCTCTTCTCTTTCTGTTCCAGGTACCACACCTGCACTGGCTAGTTTTATGTCAAATTAACACAGGGTAGAGTTATTTGAGAGATAGAAACCTCAAATGAGAAAACGCCTCCATAAGATCCGGCTACAAGCAAGATGTATATCATCTTATTAATTAGTGATTGATGTGGGAGGGCCCTAGCCTATTGTGGGTGGTTCCATTCCTGGGCTGATGGTCCTAGGTTCTATAAGAAAGCAGGCTGAGCAAACCATAACGAACAAAGCCAGTAAGCAGCACCCCTCCAGGTCCTCTGCATCAGCTTGTGCCTTCAGGTTCCTCCTCCGTTTGAGTCCTTGTCCTGATTCCCTTTGATAATGGACTATGATGTGGAAGTGTAAGACAAATAAACCTTTTCCTCCCCAACTTGCTCTTGGTCACAATGTTTTACCCCAGCAGTAGAAACTTGAGCTTAGACAATGCCTCTGCCTGGATGCATTGGCAACTTAGTAGTCCCAGGTCTGCTGTGCTCCCTTCTGACTACATCTTCTGAAGAACAGAGACTTGGGCAATCTTCAGATATCTGTCCAGTGAGGGAGACAGCACATGGAATGAGGTACAAAAGTCAACTTCAAAAGAATGGAGCTGTGAGTTATGGCTACCCTGGGGACACACACCAAGCCTTGAATCAAGGATGTTGAATTCTAACAGCAACATGAGGTGAAGAACTGTAAGTCAAGCCATGCAGTAAAACAGCCCCAACTGCTGGAAAATGAGATGGGAACCAGTCTGTTGATCCAAAGCCTGCGTGAGTGAAAGGGTCTTCCTATAAAATTTCTAATATCAGGCATATGTTTACAATGTTGGATTTTACATAATTTGCTTGGCTTGGAATATACAAAACCTTAATATAAAAATGTGTCTCTGAGTACTGGAGAAAAACCTCAGTCAGTAAGCTGCTTGCTATGCAAGCATGAGAACCAAAATTCAATTCCCAGAATTCTAGAAAAAAGACAGGTGTGGTGATATGTGCTGTAATCACAGCACAGGGGAGACAGAGACAGCAAGATCCCTGGGGCTCTCATCCTAAAGACTAAGTGGTAAGAATCCAAGGCTATGTACATGTGGGGTGTTCATGAACCAATGCAGTGAGAAGCAGGGCCAAACTCTTAAGAACACACACACTAAACTATTGACACTATTGCATGATTAAGTGGAGTGTCTAAAAGGCATGTGGTAAAATAGTAAAGTCGTAAGACAGAGGGCTATGGGCAGGAGGAGAGAAAACGACACTGTTAAGAAATGCCAGCTCATCTGAAAAAGAACTAGGAATTTTTAGAAATGAAAAGTACTGAAACAAGACACACAGTCAGCAGTTTCTGCAGCCAGCTAGGCACAGCTGAAAAGACCAGTAAGCTGGGGACATCACACACACTCCCTGAATAGGCAGAGAGTGTGAGAAGCAGGTGCTGTCAGGACAGGGAAGCTGGAATGGGAAGGCTTTGCATGGGGGGCTCAGGACAGAGGGGGTCACGGGGAGAGGTGACGGACAGGAAGAGATGATATTTGAGGGCTACGGATAAGACTTTTCTAGAGTTGCTCAGAGATCTGAACCTCAGATACAAGACGTGCAACGAGTCTAAAGAGAATCAAGCTATTAAGGCATGCTGCAGTAGGGGCTCCAGGACACAGGGCCAGGGATCTCAATGTAGCCAGGGGAAACTGAGGAACATTTTAGACAGACAACAGCTACAACGGCAAAAGAAACCAGAAGAAAGAAATGGAGAGAATCTTTAATCCAGGCCTGGGAAGGAGGGCTTGGTGGTAGCTGAGGTAATGGTGACCACCTAACCTGGGTCTTCCATACACTCTTCAGAAACCATACAGGCTAACAGAAGGCAAGTGACTTGTGCTAAAAAACAGAGAAGCTCTCAGGTCTCAAATGAACACAGTGGGTAAAATAAACATTTTTAAAGCAATATTCCCTCCACGCAAGCACTTTGCAGATAGCTAGGAGATCCTACAAATTGCCAGAAAGAGGGAGCAGAGAACCAAAGATCCTACTGGCTCCTTCCGCTCAGTTCCCAGGAGGACAGCTACTCTCAGGTGGGTGTACCTATCAGAGTTCTGTCAGCCAGTGCTGCCCATGGAGAATGACACAGCAATGTACTCCCCCAGGAGAAGTGCCATGAAGACATCCTGCAGGGGAGAAGAAAGGGACCTCTGGTGTAGAGGGATTTTAATCCAGTGACATGGCTACTCAGGCTGGAATACAGACTCACCCTTAGTGCACACCTTTAATCCCAAACAATGAAGGTAAAGTTAGTTTGTAGAAGGAAGTACCCATGTTTGAAAGTGATGTTTAATTGAGAGGCAGGCAAAGTAATGAATCAGAGAAAGTTTTGACAGAATAGAATATGCCCAACTCTCACCAGAACAGAGAGAAAGATAGACTACTTAAGAGACAGTAGTACAGAAGGAGGAGGGGAGATGAAAGTTTTACCAGGATATTTGTATGGAGACAGGTTACACACACACACACACACAAAGAGAGAGAGAGAGAGAGAGAGGGAGGGGGGGGGGGAGGGAGGGAGGGAGGGAGGGAGGGAGAGAGAGGAGTCAGACAGACACATAGACAGACACAAGTGAAGACAGAAGGAGCCAGAAGATAAGGACATATTGCCAAAGTTAGTATGAGGCCAAGCAGGGCAATTCAGTCAGAAGCTTAAAGAAGCCAATTTGAATCAGTCAGCGGGGAGAGGAGTTTGAGCCAGAACAGCAGAGTTGACCAGCCAGCCAGAGTTCAGAAAGAGCTACAAAGGATGAGCTTATTCAGCAGCAAGTCTCAGGCTAAGAATGTTCTAGGCCTAGATAAGACTGTGTGGAGGTGAGAAAATTCCAGGACTAGGCCAAGGTTAGCAGATGGAGGCAGTAAACCTCTGAGATGACAAACACCTCAGGCAAATAAGATAATTTTCCACCCTGAGCAGAGGAGTCCTCATTTTAGAAACTGCATATCACACACAGTGACAGATGTAGGTGGACTGAGCTATCAACTGACCTGCCTGTAATCTGGATACAGTGAAACACAACTGTAGTATCAGGTATTTGGGAACTGAGGCAGGAGGATTGCAGGTTTGAGAGCCTGGATTACATGATGAGTACAGGTCAGCTACAAAGCAAGACTCCGTTTCAAAAACAACAAAAAGAAACAAGAAAAAAATATAAAAGGAAGATGAAGGTTAGATGCTGAGCAGCAGAAGGGCGTGCTGAAAACATTGACAGGAGGGGCAGCGTGGGATAGAGGAGCAGCAAGCATCGAAGGGAACCACAAAACACATACCTAAAAAGCCAGCAAAGAAGTGACAGTATGTCCACCAGAAGAGTCCAAGAAGAAGAAAATTGAAACACTAGCACAAAGAGAAAAAGTAAATTATGGTTCAGAAAAGCAGTTATGAAATCTTCATAGTGAGGAAGCATGCCAGACGCCAACGGGGATGCCTACAGGTCCAAACACAGCACACAGTGAAGGTGTTGGAAGACTTGGGCAGCCTGTCTGAAAGCCTGGTCGTGTGTTCAGAGAAACCGGGCTGGTCTTTGTGACCTCTCCAGTTCTTTAAGGCAAGCCGGCCCACGGTCTCACGCCCAGACTCTGAAAGACTTACTCAATGTGGATGAAGTCCTTCAGTTTCTCTTCCACACCCACCAGCTTGCAGTAGTTGATTGTGTAAGTAGCATTTATCAATGTGATTTTCTTCTTGTACACTTTGCCAATATCAAAGTCCTGTAGAGACAGAGGGGCCATGATGACTCTGAGCCCTCCAGAAGGATTCAAGAAACGGTCACAGGAAGAGGGATCTTCTCTGGTGCTGGCTCAGGAAAGGTTAAAGATCCTGAGGTAGAAAAGGTCTCCCTTGGGTCATAATGCCCACGTTGAGGTCTGAGAAGGACAGGGAAGGGCCTACCTCATGAGAACTTGCTCCTCACTGGGATATGAGTTCTGTGGGGGGACTGGCTGGGTAGGAGAGAGGACGGAAGCACAGGCTGCATATCCTTAGTCTGTTCTTCTGTAAATGCTAATACTAGCCAGCTGGTGCTGGGTCCTTAGGGCCACCTCATGAGAAGGTGGAATTGCCAAGCAAAAGGGGTCTATCAGGTAGTTATCTTATTTTCCTTCTCAGAAGTCCAGACCTCTATTAAGGGGTGCCCAGGTGCTTCTTGTTCCTTAGACTGTCAACTCAGCCCTGCACACCAACCCCAAAGCTGAATACTTTTCTGGGTTTCCCATGGTCAAAACAGAAAGTATCAGAGGCAGGAGAGTGACAACAGGCTTGCTTTCCTGTCCACCCCTCAAGGCTCACCTTGAAGTGGATGACCTCAGGCTTGCTGTTGAATGGGCGGCCCTTGAACTCCCGCCCAGATACCACCTGCTTTTGGACCACCCCACTGCGAAGCTGCTCCATAGTCCGAGCCAGGATATCCTTTTCCATCTTACTTCCGCCCACAGGTTTTCGTTCCATGTCCTCCTTGGGCACCTTGGGTTCAAACAGACAGAGGTCCATGCTTATTCAAAGCCTCATAGTGAGCCGGGCGGTGGTGGTGCACCCCTTTAATCCCAGCACTTGGGAGGCAAAGGCAGGCGGATTTCTGAGTTCGAGGTCAGCCCAGAGTGAGTTCCAGGACAGCCAGGGCTATACAGAGAAACCCTGTCTCGGAAAAACAAAAAACAGAACAAAACAAAACAAAACAAAACAAAACAAAAGCCTCATAATGAACAAAGTGCAGGACCTAACCTGGCAAGGAAGGATGGCTTGTACCCAGCAGACTGCTCTGAAGGGCCCCAGCTTGGGAGAAACAGAGAGACAGAGAGAGACACAGAGACACACAGAGAGACAGAGAGAGACACACATAGAGTCAGAGATACATAGAGATAGAGAGAGACACAGAGAAGCAGAGAGTGGCAGAGACAGAGATAGACTGAGACACAGTGACAAAGACAGAGAGACATACACAGAGTGGGAGAGATAGAGAGAGACACACAGAGAAGAGACAGAAAGAGAGAAGGGCCAAAGGGAGAAAAGTAGAAACATGTAAGACTCTTTGGGAAGTAACAGCAGAAACGACTGTTCTAGATTGTTGAGTCAGGGCAAAGGAAGACTTCTGGGGAATTCTGCAGGACACAGTTTTCTTGAATGGCAATGTTAGTGCAAATCAGGCAACCCCACTAACTAATGTTAGCAATTGGAAAGAGTGTAATCCAAGATAGGCCTAAAATTTTCCTTTTGACATCTATGTGAAATCTGCCTGAGACTCTGGGCATCCAGGCCACTGGTTAGATTTCTCCCTGATTCTCCAGAATGGAGAGTGCCTGGTGCCTGCCTAGGCCCACCACCTTTCTGCTGAATTTAAATGGAATGGCTAGCCCAGTCTGCCTTCTTAACTTCTTTCCTAGAAGGAGGAGAATCAAATCTCTTTGTTCTGATAGTGCTGTTAACTAATGTTTACAGAAGCGCTTGGATGGAGCTGTATATAACCCGTGCCTCTTGTAAACTGTAATCCAGAGAAGCAGCATTCTGTGTGAGGCGTGTTTCTTGAAAAGGGCCATTAAAGGAAGTTTGAACTCATGGATTTTTATAGAAATAAGTTTTTTTGGACCAGAGAGATGGCTCAGCAGTTAAGACTGCATAAATGCTCTTCCAGAAAACCCTAGTTTGATTCCCAGCATCTATATCTGGCAGCTTACAACTACCTGTGATCTAGCTACAAGACATCTGACACCTCTGGTCTCCATGAGTGCCTGTGAGTACACACATACACATTAAAAATAAAATGCCTTTTTTTTTTTTTTTTTTTTTAGAAAGGAGTGATTTCTCAGTAGTAAGCAAAGCGATACAAACCTGTTTTGGGAGCCTTCCAGCACCTCTGTTGCTCTAGGCTATGTGCAGCAGTATGTGGCTGAGCCCTGCACCCCTGTGAGAAGGGGCTTGGACTGTGGAATCATCATGCACATCCCAGTTCTCTCTGTGTCTGTCTGTCTGTCTGTCTGTCTGTCTGTCTTGGTTTTATGAGATGGGGTTTCTCTGTGTACTAGAACTTGATCTGTAGACCAGGTTGGCCTTGAACTCAAGAGTTTTGCCTGCTGCTACCTCTATCAGAGGCATGTGCCACCACCTCCTAACACAGACCATTTCTCTTAGAGATTATGGAAAGGGGAGAAGGACCTAGAATTTGGAGGAGGCAGTGGCAGGTTTAGAATGGGGCATGATAGTGGGCAATTACATCAGGGAATCTGGAATCTCAGTGTGGCTCAGGGTGACAGAGGAAAGCTGTTACCTGGTGTGACTGGTATGACTCTTTGCTCCAAAGCCCTGGGATATCTGGTTCAGCCAGTACCTCGTCCTCTGTATTGAGGGTTCCCAGATCCACCTGCACAGACTCACTGGAGATGGCTTTCAGTACATGCAAAGGCTTGGGGTGTAATACCAGCTCAATGTCCTGCCAGCAGAAGAGAAGTGCAGTAAGACACACGCATTACAGAAAGGATGTGTGCAGCTGAGTAGGACAGCACACGCTCATCACAGACTGGAGAATGTGCAGCCTGATAGTAGAAACAATCCCCATGGATGCCTTCTGGGGACTCAGCCTGGCAGCCTCACTCGGTTCTTCCAGTTCTTTTGTTCTTTACAGAGACTCATAAATCCTTGTAACTTTTCCATTTAAAATACAACAAACATGTCTCTGGATTACCAAATGTTCAGCAGAGGCCACGATAAAGTCTTGTTCATGGGAAAATAGTGTGAGTCGTGGACAGTTGTGATTTTCTCTGCTGTTCTGGCAGCCATGCTCTATGTGCTGAATTTTCATGATGGATGGCACACCAACCCCAGGGAAAGACCTGTGAAAACTCAGGCCGCTCAAACAGAGGTTGCAAGAAGTATGTAGAATGTGCCCCTGAAGGGAGGACCCTGAAGGGGCCCCATGGTGCAAGTGGCTGAGAGAGATGATAAACAGAACACAGCCTGTGGTGCATCACTGAAACACACAGGAAAATGCTCCAGAGACCAAAGACCAGGCAGCTCGAGAGAGGGGCTCATGTAGAGTGCAGAGTGCTGGGTTAAGGGACATCCAATGTTCTTACACTATATCCTCAAGGAGAGGAAAGGTGGAAACAAATCTCCCCAGCTCTGGATGTTGACTACACAGGCCTTAGTGTGAGTGAGCGTAACACTCTGCTTTCAGGGAGACACTAGAAACACCTGGCAGTGGTGTGATACCATGTGTATGGACTGGCTACACACATCTCTTCACATGAAGCTGTCTCCACATTGTGTGTAGGGATGGAGGAGGGACTTTCCCCTGTCTCACAGACAGGTAGCTCTGTAGGGCTGCAGTAGTACCATTGGCTAATATGAGGAGCTTACATGAGGGAGAAGAGGACCCTGGTGGGCCTCACAAGGCCATGGCTCTGGAGACCTGAGCCAGCCTTCTCTTCCAGGCTGAGCCCTCAGCCCTCCCACCTGCACAGTCAAGTGCCTGACCTCAGCTTGAAAAGGCAGCTTCCTACTCACCTGCTGTTTAGTGCTGGTCAAAGCAGTCTTCCCTTCACAGAAGTCGGAGATGTACTTCCAGGTCTTGTCTCTCAGAGTCCATCGGTCTATGGATTTAGAGGGTGGATGCTGTCTCCTTTTCCTTTGTTCTTCTTCAGCTTCCTCTTTCAAAATCTTACTTACAATCTCCTGCCTCCGGAGTTTCTGCTCCTCTTCAAAAGCCCTGTGGGAGGTGCTTCTCAGAAAAGAGCCAGCGCAGCACCTGCAAGCTGGATACCCAGTGGCTACTAGGGTTAAGCATGGTATTCCTCTTAGCCTCTGGTCCTTCCCAAGAGCTCAGGTCTAGCCTAGGAGGGCTCTGGTGTGAAGATACCGTCTTGGGCAAGCTCCAAGCTCCGTGGACAGTAGAACAGACAAACCTCATAAGGGCAAGGAGGCTGGAGGTGAGACTTGAACTCTCACCTCACCTTAACCCTCTCTGCCCTGTCTAAGCTCTGTATTTGACCTGTCTAGTTTTGAAGTGCCTCACTCGGCCCAGTCTACAAGTCTCTACAGCAAACCCTGGCCCTCTAGACTGGCTGCTGAGGAATTCTTGGTGATACAAAAAACAGGGGCAACATGAGGGTTTGGTGACCTCTCACTCAGTCTCTGATTCTTTATAGTCATCCCTGGGAGGTACCACCCAGGCCACCGATGATCTATACCAAACGTACATGGGCAGACTGACAGGACACATCAAAACTCTGGTGGCAATTGTAGGTTGTGTGTGTGTGTGTGTGTGTTGCGTATTTGTGAGACACTGTGAAGAGGAAGATGCCCTGTAGCAAGAAAACTTGCAGGCAATATCCAAGCAGATACTATGCAGTGACACAACCTTGTAGGGAACAGGGACTTGGGAGAAAGGGCTTGGTCCTTCAGAATGAGACAGCTTTAGGCAGAGACACCGAGAAGCTAGTGTGTGCAAGGTGGAAAATTCCAGGTATGAGGCAGGTCCCTCTGGAAACTCTGTTGGACCAAGCCTGGGGGAGACCAAAGAATGAAGCAGTAGGGTGATTTGTGAGGAATGAGCCCCAGGAAACCCCCAGGGAGGAGGTGGCCACAGGAGTTCAGGAAGCCAAGAGAAGAAATGAGCAAAGATGTGTCTTATCTCCACAGAGCCTCTACATAAAGCCCTCAAAGTGGCAGAAATCCCTGGAGACTCTTCTTGGAGTTGGGGGTCGGGGGTTGGGGACAGGGTGCCGTGGTCCTCTCCCACAGCTCACATCCGCTTTCTGAGAAAAGTCTGGGCAGGAATGAGCTTTGTTACTTTCAGGTGATGAGTGTTGATCCTTTCGGCTCTCTCTGTGCCCACTTCCCTGACAGATGCCTCTCAACTCTTACCGCTTCTGGGCTTCCAGTTCCTGGTGCCTGCGTTGATGGTAAAGGTACTTGAAAGCATCTCCACCTTGGGACAGGATGACTTCTTTCTCTGTAAGGGCCTTCTGCTTAGCCAGCTCTGCCTTGTTTTGGCCCCATGCTTGGAACTTCTTTAGTGTTTCCTGGAAATAGGAAACTCTAAAGTCACAGTATCAGCATATGCCATACATACACACACACACACACACACACACACACACACACACACACACACACACACAGACAAACTCATAGCCCTGGGACCCCTGGGCCTAGAATTCTATGCAGTGGTGTGCATGTTGATTTTCTGCAGCGGTGTGCATGTTGACTTTGTGCAGCGGTGTGCAGGTTGACTCTGTGCAGTGGTGTGCAGGTTGACTCTGCAGCTGTGCCCATTTGACTCTGTGCTGTGGTGTGCATGTTGACTCTGTGAAGCGGGGTGCATGTTAACTGTGCAGCGGGGTGCATGTTGGCCCTCTCCTATTGGTTCCCTTGCCTGTGAGTCTTCATGATGTACCCCACTCTTTCCTAACCCAGATCTGAGCCCTAGTGCTGGCCCTCACACTGCCCTGGGCCCTATGACTACTGTTCCACTGAGATGAGGCCCTCTCAGAACAGTGCTGAGTTGTTCTCTTTCTGCTGGACAATGGTTCCTGTTTGTAGTCCAGGTAGGAAGCCTGTGGTAGAGGCATGGCGAACTTTTAGACTGAACAGGCTGGTTGGCTCATGGAAGGAGCCCAAGGATAGAAGAATTCTAGCTCTAAGAAGAGCAGGACCCAGGGGGTAGCCAGTTGGTTAGATGTGCCAGAGAGGTTGGTGTTGGGGCCCAAGTAGCCTAGAGGTGAGCCTCCACCTACCCGACTGGCAGTGATGTTGTTCTTCAGGGCCAGCACAGCATCCATGCGCCGTTGCATGTGCTTACGGGACTCCATCTCTTCCTTCTGCTCTTGCTCACGAACTCTGCAGTAATGTGCATTTTATTTACTTTTTATTTTTGTTTGTCTCTTTTGTGACAGGGTCTCTCTATGCAACCCTGGCTGTTCTGGAACTCGCTGTATACACCAGGCTGGCCTCAGAGATCAGCCTGCCTCTGCCTCCTGAGTGCTGGCACTGAAAGTGTGTGCTGCTATGCCTATGAAATGTGCACTTTCAGTAGGGATGTGTACAGGCAATGCTGGCAATTACAGAGCTATAGGAGCCTTAGGTACTGGTTACCTCTACCAGGGAAACATTAAAAGCTGGCAATGTGAAGGTACATGGATAGGCTCTGTCAGGGCTGTGCCTGTGGGACCCGTGGCTGGGGATATTCTCTACACTCTAGGGCTTCATTGTGTCTCATGTTCCTCTTGCAAGTACAAATAGCTTCTCAAAATAAAACTACAGATATATTAGTTTCTGATGATTAGGTAATGACTTAACTAGAGGATTTCAAAGTGCAATCTAGGAACCTACATTCCTGTATTCCTCAAGGGCATTGACAGAAGAAAGCTTTAAGGTGAAAACCTACCTTCCCAGAGAGGCCTTCAGGAACTTCACTGCGATTCTGTGGTTTCTCTGGGCATCTTCCACTAACTTCTGATGTTTCAGCCCCAGCTCCTTTTGTGTATGCAAAGATTTCCTGCAGTGACACAGGCAGAAACCGGAATAGGTGTCACATATACTTGCCTGTCACAGATATTTAAGTGCTGCTGGGGGCTCTGGTGTGAGGAAGTCACCAAAAACAGGGTTTGACCCAGGCTGGGCAGGAATCTGACAGGAGAAGAGACCAGCAAAGATGGTGGAAGAAAGAGATATCATCTTGAAAGAGCAGAGTCCAGTAGCCCCGAAGTCCCTGGGGGTCAGTGGTTAAGCAGAGATAGAAGACACCTCAGTGAAACTGAGCACTCTGAGGCTTGTGTAGGCAAAGGGGTATCCAGATGTGTGATGGAGCCAGAGAACAGAACAGCTGGAAGGGATAAAGGAATATGCAGAAGGAAGGATCAGGTCAGTGGTGACTGTGGGCACTTAACATGGAGCCATTGCAGGACCCATGGCACAGATGCAAAGAGAGGGAACTGTGTGCTGGTTCTAGAGAGACTCAGTGTAGAACATGAAGGAACTGGCCGGGGCCAGGTCTGGGTGGCGCTTACCGGGCCCTCAGCAGGCGGTTCCTCTCTGACTTCTCCATGGCTTCTTTCTCCTTTTGAAGCTGCTGAGCTGAGTGTACCTCAAGGCCCCTCTGTCTAGCTTCTGCCTCCTCTTCATGATGCTTCCGGACATCCTCAAATTGCCCCTTCTCCATCTCAATGTGCCACATGGCATTCCTGGCGAAAATAGACCATTTGCTTTTTATAGTAGCTAAGGATTTGAAGACTTGTGTCCACCCCTCTGTGAAGCATCCATATGGGGATTTGAGAAGATCTTTCTTTTGATAAACACTCTAGGCAGATATTAGACACCACTAATGAGGAGTCAGCACTCTCCTCTAAGGCTTAGGCTTGGGTCAATATTACCAGAGAATGAGGTCTCACTACTTGGTTTCTAAAGGAGAAAAATCACCATTACATTAAATCTAACCAGAGCTAAAAGTCTGGCCTCAGACACTCACCTGACCTACAGACTGAGTCAGCTTGGCACTGACCCTTTTGCCTGACTGAAGTGGAAACTTAAGGGTTCTTTGGAAAGTCGTTTGGATGGTGTTTTGCTGGGACAAACACATGAAGGGATGTTTCATTAAAGTGGACACAGGTGTGAAAGGCTAAGGCCGACTCATGGAGGAACATTTACCTGAAGCAGACACAGGAGAGAGGATGATCTGGTAAAGCAAACAAGTGAAAGGACACACGATGGCTTCTTTGCTAGCAACACACATGTATTGGTCTTACACTGCATAGTTGAGCTGCATTTGTTAGGACACCATAGAAAGAAACACACCAAAAAAACTCTGGTGGTGTGCTGCAGTTTCTTGACACTTCCATGGACTCAGGCTTATTGGATGCATGTGCTGAGGCAAGGCACATGGAGGACACGTGATGTTTGGAGAGTATAAATAGTACTCCACAGAGTGACAGAGACAGAGCTTGTCTTGCTGATACAGCTAGCTGTGCAACACTTGCTCATCTTGTGTCTTCACTGATCTTCACTTCCCTGAGAGAGGCACAGCTGAGAACATCCCCCTCTGGGTCCCTCCTGCTGACTTGTGCCAAGGCTGAGGCCTGGTTGCCTTTGCTAGGTAGTGCCACTGCTGCTGATTCCTGTTTGCTATCTGACTGTACTTAACTGGACTGCTGGTGTATCTGTGAAGTGTTTGTGAGTGGACTGAGCTGCTGTTGCTGACTTGTGAACTGAACTGACGATTTCCAGACAACACAGACAGGAGTTGCTCCAAAGAACCTTTCTAAACAGGTCCACTTCCCCCATATCCTTTCTTTCCCACTACCTCTGGTGGGTGGTGGGCTATGAGGGAAGTTAAAGTGTTTAAGAACCATCATTAAAAATGGGCTTTGAAAAAAATTAAAGTTACACCTGGCCTGAAGAAAGGCCTAGAAAATGTCTTCTGAAGGGTTCCTTGGAGCTACCACAAAACACCCCAAGTCTTCAGACATGCTTAGGAAGAGGCTCAGAAAATGGTAGCAGCCAGCTCTGCCCAGGGCGTATCTGGATAACAAGGGATCTGCCTGACTCTGGTCTTGGGTGACTCTGTCATCAACTGTCAGTGAGTCCTGCATCTTTGGTGACTGTGGTGTGCACAGCACGCTTCAGGTTCCCAGCACAAGTCCAGGAGCTCTGCAGATCATCTTCATTTGGGATGAAAAGCAAGAAAGAACTGTCTTTCCTAGGATGTGGGAATCCATGCATCTGTGTGCCTCTTTAATGAGTCAAGTGTGGTTTCTAGCCATCCTGGCTGACATGGCTAGATGTGCTACCGAATACTGACCACAGCCACACAGCATCATCTCCTGGGACTTTGCTCTGCCCGAAGGATGGCCTTGCTAGAAGCTCTGCCCAGAAGACTCTGGCAGACCAGAGCTAATGACAGAAATGCATGGGTCACCACACAACGTTGGGAAGATGTATTCCAACTTTGCATATCTGACAGTAAAGCAAATGCCTCAAGTTGTCCTGGTGAGCTGAGAGTTGTAGGTTTTTAAATAAATGTGCTAGCTTGCATTAAGAAAATGTTCTTCTGGGCTGGAGAGATGGCTCAGTGGTTAAGAGCACTGACTGCTCCTCCGGAGGTCCTGAGTTCAATTCCCAGCAACCACATGGTTATCACAACCATGTCCTTCCATCCTTATCTTGTTAATTTTTTTTTTTTAAATCATGACTGTGGAGTTGAATCCAGTCTTTCTGTTCAATCAGTTCCATGGCAGTGGGGGGAAATCTGGACTGAGATGAAATTCTAGAAATCCCTCTATCCTGGGTGGAAGAAAGAAAAAGGAGCCGCATATCCGGAGAGAACATGCTATAGAACTTCCTATCTTGGGCAGGGAACACTCCCTTCATTGCAGCTCCAATAACACTCAAAGCCATCGTGGTCCTGTGACATGTATTAGGCATACAGGTGGGAAACACCACCTTTAGAGATGGGCTGTGTATTGATGGAATCCCAAGAGGCAGAGAGAGGCCAGGGGGACATGCTTGGCCAAGGGCAGAGGTTCGCCCAGTGTGTCTCGGTCTAGATAGGACAAAGGGCTTTGGGAAAGTGGCAAACTGATATCAGATCCTACACAAATAGGTATACCTCTGGAGACCTTCATTCTATGGTCACAAGGAGATCACAGCAAGAGAAAGGTTAAAGGAAAAGGATCCTACTGGCATTGGAGATAGGAGGTGCCATAGCCGTTTATAAATTACCTCTGTAAGTTTGATATTGTTTCAAAGTAAAAAAAAAAATTTTTTTAAAGTAAGCAGATTCTTACAGCAACTCAACACAGGCAGGGTCTCCAGAGGTCTCACCTGCCCTGGTTTCTGAATCACACAGAGAGAAAGTGCCAGTGCCAGCTAGGTGTCAATCAAGGACAGTAGAAATATTCACTTATCAGCCATAGATGGACTTGTCTTTTATGTGGGTGTGGCTTGGATTTTGGCTTGGATTGTGACCAATCATACTGTGTGCAAGTCACAGAGTGGTAAGGCTCAAGAGTCCACTGAGGGAGAAAGCGACAAGTTTGGTCTGATTGTGGTGTGCAGCAAGGGCTAGCCAGCTGTTATGCTCACAGTCAGTGTTTCTGACAGTGCTCTGGTCATCTGTGTGTACCCTGTCCTCAGACTAGGGTGCTTTCCAACCTGATCTGCTGTCATTAACACAATATCTGTGATCTGGATCCAGAGCTGGGCAGCAGCCTTGTGGCTCACTGGACTGTATGTAGTGGGAGCCCTTGCTGGTTTTATCAGTGAGCTGTCTATACTCCCCAAAGAAACTCTTTCTTTGTGGACTTGCTAGAGGCATTTCTAATTCGCAACCTAAACTCTGACTAGTAAAATACTTAAAATCATGCAGCCGTCTCCCCCAGCCCCCCAAGGATTATTCTATAAAAGTTGATAGTACTTTTTTTTTCCCTCAATGCTAGGGATCGAATTAGGGCTGTATACATGCTATTCAAATGATCTGCCCCTAAATGTATTACTGAGCCCCTGCCCAAGAATACAGGAAATAAGAAAAAGAGGGGAAGAAGCTGATTATATAGTTACTGAGATTATAAACAAAAGGAAACTGAAGAACTTACTCGCTGTCCTTCAGCATGGCTGTGATTTTAGACTGCAGATCTTTCTCATTTTCTAGCTCTGTTTGCAGGCGTCTGGAAGCAGCCTGGAGACGGCCAATAGCAGCCCTGGAGAGCAGAGGATGGACCACAGGTCAGCACAGTGGCCTAACTGACAAAGAGAGAGCTGAGGACAGCCTGGTGCTTTCCCTTGGCCATCCCTCACTCAGGAGGAAATACATTGGAAGCAGATGACCAGAGGTGGGATCCTATGGTGTCAAGTAAGGTGCTTCCTACACCCATTTCCAGCTGGGCAAGAAGGACTAGGGTAGGGCCTTACACAGGGTCTGTGGAGGTCGGAGGTTGGCGGGGTTGAGGTTTTGTTTTCATCTCTATTCATGCACTGTCTGATATTGGCCTCTCACTTTCTCTTAGGAAGCTAGAAGCCAAAGTCCTACTTGTCAGGCCCCTCAGAATATAAGGCCCAGGCCTTAAGTTCAGGTAGGACTAGCACACTCCCTGAAACACTCCCAAGGCCTGGTACACTCCCTCAGAGCTACTCTGAGTCTTCACTGTTCCTCTTCCTAGTGTACAGCTCTCAGTGTGGCGTCTACTGTTGTTGAGGCCCATTCATACTACCAGATGCCAGCCCTTTATGAGGGGTGAGCAGGTATCGCCTCTCAGCAGTGACATGTTTGGAGGGAAAGCCAAAAGGCCTTGTCTTTGAGAAGTGCCTGAGGACATGGGACACGGATGAAGAATGCTCCACACTTGTGTGGTGCTGGTGAGCACATTTCCCATAACTGATCAACTGATTATTTGTGGACACCGAGCTGCTGATCCACAGAATCAGATGGGGTTTTTAATCCCACAAAGAGCCAGGTGTGGTGGCTCAATCTTGTAGTTCTAGTGCTTGGGGTTTGTGAGGCAGAAGACTGTGGATTTGGGGACAGGATGGACTGCAAAGTTAGACTCCATCTCTAAATAAATAAGTAAACAGGGCTGGTGAGATGGCTCAGTGATTAAGAGCACTGACTGCTCTTCCAGAGGTCATGAGTTCAAATCCCAGCAACCACATGGTGGCTCACAACCATCTGCAATGATATCTGATGCCCTCTTGTGGGGTGTCTGAAGACAGCTACAGTGTACTTACATATAATAAATAAATAAAAATAAATAAATAAATGTTTTAAAAAATAAATAAATAAGTAAACAGATAGAAACACTCTATCAGGAAGCCATTTCCACCAGTGACCAATGCTACAACTTCTACTTCAGGAGCTGCATGGACACAGCCCTGTCTCTTCCCTGACCGCAGCATCCTATACTAGCATTTCTGTTCTTTCTTTTGCACATGGGTGTGTGTGCACTCGTGTGTGTGCATACACATGTGTGCATGGTCATGTGTGTTCCTCGATCATTCTCTGCCTTACTCTTTGGAGACAGCCTCTGTCACAGATTCTCTCAGAGACTCACAGATTCTGCTAGTCTCGCCAGCCAGTTAGACCTCTGGATCCTCCTCTCTCTGCTTCTCCTGTGTTGGGATTATTGGTACACTCTGTACTGCTCTGCACATGGGGGCTGGGATCAGATGGAGGTCCTCACTCTCGGGTAGCAAGTATTGCACCAACTGAACCAGATCCTAGACTGACATTTCCTCTTTGTGTCGTAATGTCTGTCTGCCACCTGGAGAGATGCTATTTTCCTCTTGACCATCTGAACACAGCTGGAACTTAACACTATTCTTTGCTGAATGAGTGAATGAACCTCTGTGGTATGACACTGTCTTGGCCATCATGGTCACGCTTGGCTGTACAACCTCCTTGTAGGTCACAGGATGACCTACATGTTGTTGGCTTCTTTCTCTGAGGCGATCTCGGCTGCCAAGCTCTCCTGCTGTTTGGCGAGGAGGTCCATCCTCTGACGACAGATACGCAGCTCCCCCCTAGGACATTGAAATAAGAATTGGCATAATGTTTTCCCAAGGTTCTAGCCTTAGAAGGGGCCAGTGGGGCAGGGGAAGGAGAAAGCCTAAGGTCCAGGCCAAGGACTAACAATACTTTGTTTTCCTAGGCGTCTCAGACCCTATCAAGTCACATGGCCGGGGTGTTTTCTAAAAACCCTGCCAAAGGGGCTAGTCATGTAAACTTCTCCAAAAGGTGATATGCCTGGGAAGCCAAGGGAAACATGGTTAACGTGAATCTGTGTAAGCACAGGCCCCTGAGGAGCACATGGCTACACATGGCTGCAGCTCTTCGCCAGCATGCAGCAACACAGACCAGAGCAGTTAGTTCCCTGTGTAGGCCTGGATGAAAGGCTCACTCCTGCTATGTGACATTTACTTCAGTGGGAAGCAACAGAACACAACCTAAACCATGAGTTCTAAGGACACCCAAAGGATGTCAGGACAATGCAACACATCGTCGCTGTAGGGTAAATCCTATACCCACAGGTGATGTCATGAAGAAAGATGCTTTTGTTTTTCAGAGATGCTGAAATAGGAGTAAAGCATCAGATTCAGCACAAGAATCACAGCTACGACACATATTCTGACACATAGCGGGAAAAGTCAACCACAACGATCTAGGGGTGGTGTAAGGGGACAGCTGCCTCCTACTGGTTTCCAGCTTTCCTGTGTGTTGGGGACACACTCAGTATTCAACTGACTATGATGGCAGGCTAAGTGTCAGTGAGCCAAGGCCAGCAGGACCCGAGAAGTAGCAGGCTATATCCACTAAGGCCTCCATCACAGCTGAAACGTGCTGAAACTAGACGGATCATGGAGGCCCCAGCAGGACCCAGGAGCACCTTAGCTCTCCGAGAACTTGTCTGGACTGAGGGAGAGGGAAAGGTGGTGGAGCCTGTGCTCCCCAACTGTTCAGGCTTGTGAGGTTGCTCCCTGTAAATACTCTGGCAAGACTCTCCTGCACAGAGCACTCAAGAAAAGAAAAGGCAGGACCTCCCACATGGATGCTGTACAGCAGAAGGTGTGGCTGGGCTCACTTGGTCTTCTGGATGAAAACGTCCTTTTCCTCATGCATCTTGTCTAGAAGGTTCAAGCTCTTCCGAAGATGAAACGCCTGGACTCTGTCTTTAGTGGTTGCCTTCCTCATTTTCTCGGCACCTGCGCTCTCCTTTTTCGCTGAACTTGACATAAAAAGAGCACTTGCTTCACACACAAACCCTAATGCTCAGCTTGACCCTAGACTGCTCTCCACCCCGCAGCTCCACAGCCCACTAGAGATGCAGCCTTCCTTCAAAGGAGGAGTCTCGATGCGTCTCGGTGAATTACCTGTGGCCGCCGTCATCCTCTAGTCCCTCAGGAGACCGTTCTACATCAAACTCCAGATCCTCTAGCTGGATTCTTTCTAGAAATCAAGGAAACAGTCAAAACAAAACAGAAACAGCAAACAGCCAAATCATACAGTGTGATGGCTCGGGCCTATGTTTCCAGTGCAGGAAGGATAAAAGCAGAAGCAGGAATTCCAGGTCAGGCCTAGGAAGTTTGAGGCCATCCTGGGCTATGTGAGGCCCTGCACCAAAATACAAAACAAAACATATTACCAGAAGATAAAGATAATTTTTAAAAAGAAAAACAAGTAAGAGCATACACACATGTACCCAGGGAACTCTGGGCATCCTCAGTCGCCCTTAGACAGTTTCCATGGTGATACCAACACTTCCCTTTCCTTTTTCTTTTGACTATTTGGGGGTGTTTGTGGTGGCCACGGACATGTACCATGCAGTACCTGGTCTCTGTTGAACTGGATACTATTTCAAGTACAGTAGTTCATCATTGCTTTTTTGTTGTTGTTATTTTTTATTGGATATTTTCTTATTACATTTCAATTGTTTTCCTCTTTCCAGGTCTCCCCTTCAGACATCATTGCTTTTTAGAAGTGTTTCAATTTTCCTTTTTTCTTTTAGATAAAGTATTTGTAACTTACGCTGTTAGCCTTGACCATTGTCCTCCTGTCTCAGCTGGAGTTTGAAAGACGTTTCCACCAAGCCTGACTCAGTTTTTACATTATTTATGACTTCTTTTCGTTTCAGACAGGGTTTCACTTTGTATCCTAGCTTGGTCTTAAACTCACATCAGTTCCTCTTGATTTGGCCTCCCAAGTAGAGAGAGATGGTCTCACTGTGTAGCCTTGGCTTCCCTAGAGCTTGCTATGGAGGTCAGGCTGGCTTCACTTAAACTCAGAGATCCACAGGTTTCTGTCTCTGGGATGGGATTAAAGTTGTGTGCCACCATGCCTGTCCCAAGTAATGTAATACACACACACACACACACACACACACACACACACACACACACACAGAGAGAGAGAGAGAGAGAGAGAGAGAGAGAGGGAGAGGGAGAGGGAGAGGGAGAGGGAGAGGGAGAGGGAGAGAGAGAGAGAGAGAGAGAGAGAGAGAGAGAGTAAATGTGGGTAGAAAGAAGTGATAAAGGTTCTCTGAATCTCTAGTAAGTATAAATGTAGAAGGGTTCTCAAAAAACCTGAAGACCAGCTAAATGGCTTCGTGGGTAAAAGAACCTGTGTGCCAAATCTGATGAGCTGAGTTCAAACTCCAGAACCTAGATATTGAAAGGAGAGGACCAATTCAAGCATGTTGTTCTCTGATCTCCACACACCCATGGCCTACACACACACACACACACACACACGTGCACACACACACACACATGCACACACATGCACACACAAACACAAATAAAAACCATAATTTTTATTTTTTTGTATAAGTGTTTGCCTCATATATGTATGTACACCTTGTGAGTGCCTGCAGTAACCGGAAGATGGTGGCAAATTCCCAGGAGCTGGAGTTATAGACAGTTGTGAGCTGCCATGTAGGTACTGAGAACTCAACCTGGGTTCTCTGCAACAGCAGTAAGTACAGTGAGCCTCTGAGACATCTTTGTAACCACTATTAAAACAAAAACAAAAACAAAAACAAAAAACCCTTTTTTTTTAAAATAACATTGTCTTGAAAACATCCCTGTAGACTTAAAAAAAACATGGAGAATTATGGGTTTACCTCCATATCCATATTGTATGGCTGTGAAAATTACTGAAAAGAAAATGCAAAAGTCCAGAGCCTACACCACAAGGAGGATGAACAAGAGGCAACTGGGTGAGAGAGACATACAAACCCAGGAGAAAAAAGATAGGGTCAAGGAGGAGCAGGGACAGAGGTTTTCATAGACCCAGAAAACATGGTCAGGGGGTCAAGTCTGTAGTCTGGAAGGGATGCCAAATCAAGGACATCTCATAAAAGTTTGGATCATCAGAAAATTTTAAAAGAAATTCTAAAACATTCCAGAAAAGGAAAAATAGGCCACAATTCAAAGGATTAAGATTTAGACTGGCATCAGTTTACTAATGGTGGTGTTGGAAACTAGAAAAATACAGACTGCCACATTCAAAGTCTCAGCCACTATTTATTATTTTTCAACTAAAAACAATAGCAGAATTCCCTGTTTGAGAAATTAATTTAGAAGATGTACTTTCCCTGGAATAAAGGGCAGCCAGGAAACACACTGTCTTCCCTGTTCTGAAACAGTCTGTGCTGGGAAAAGGCCTCTATTACCGTCATCCATGTTAGGGAAGTTGTCCACAAGGTCCTCATCAGAAAACTGGACAGGAGGTTCTTCCATACTGGGAGACAGAAATTAGCTGTAACACAGTATTATAAAATATACATCAACGAGGTTCTATTTTTAAAAACTTTAAAGTTTCTAATAACCTAAGGGTGCAGAGACATGTACCAGTGATCAGAAAGCAGAATAAGAGAGACATTTGAGAGTACCATGGGCCACACAATAAAACTCAAAAGTACAAAAAAATAATGATTTCTCTTATATTAATATCCATTAAGAAAGCAGATAAGCTAGAGACTAAGAAAAAATACTTACAGAGGAGACATTGGCAAAACTTTGCATCCAGAAGACAGAGGCCCTAAATATGAACAAGGTAAAACTACAAACTTGCAAAAGGTCAAGGCTGTTTAATACATGTTGCAAACAAGATGCAGAAGTGGGGAGTAAACCTGTCTGTTCACTCTCACCTAATATTCATGATCTGGGCTGCTGAGATGGTTCAGAAGGTGAGGGTGCTCGATACCAATCCTGACAATCTTGAGTTCAGTCCCCACAACCCACTTGGTAGGAGACAACTGACCCCCACAAGTTGTTCTCTAACCACACATGTGCTGTCACATACACACATACACAAAAATTTAACAAGTGCTAAAAGGATCAAATTACCCAATTTCTTTAATGAATAATTGTTGCAGAGTGAGAGGAGAGGTGGGGATGCCTCTTAAAGGCAAACCAGCCGCATGTCCTGTGAAGATTGTGTTTGGCTCTTGATTCAAGCAGACAACCCTAAGTAAGATTCTTGGGATGGTTACTGAAAATTGGCAACAGGTGTTGGATTTTATGAAGAAATTACTGTTGATTTTGTCCGAGTTTAAATGGCTTTGGGAGTTGGCTAAAAGTACAGAGGTACGTACTGACGTTTTCAGAGAGAGATGAAGGTATGGCTGGTTATCTTCACAATGTGTCAGCCCAGTTGGAACAGCTGGAAGAAGAATAAGACAGCACTGATCTTGCTGATGAAAGGTGGTTGGAATCTAGGCTTCATATTATCCTTCTCCTTATTAGTGGTGTGTGTGTGTGTGTGTGTGTGTGTGTGTGTTTACTTGAAAAGGCCAAAGAGGGTTTCCCTGCAACTAGAGTTCCAGGTGGTTGTAAATGGCCTCAAATTGGCACCAGGAACTAAACTTCAGTTTTTTGCAAGAGCCATGACTGCTCTTAATAGTTCGACCATATCTCTGGCCTCTTCTTATTTTTGTGATTCTGGACTTTTCTATAAGAAAAAAATTGCAAAAGGAAGAAAATGCAAGCAAGCAAAGGAACAGACTCAGGTTCAGGCACTGGAGCTGTCCTACAGTCAGTAAGTCAATTTTATATTCTCTAAACTGCATCCAAGTCTCAGCAGGAGTCTGAACATGTGTAGGTGCCTATGTGCATCCGCTTGAGGAAAATAAATCAGAAGCTTGCCCAATGAAATTAAAAATATATGTGGAAGAACAAAGAACAATAGTACTGAAGAAGAATGAGGGGGAGGGGAGTGTCCTGCTGGTATTTATTCTAAAGTTACAAAATTACAAAATTACAATACTACCAGGCACAGAGAACAGGCCTAGAAACTGGTTGCTAAAGACTGAGGCCACTTAGTACAAAATCTGATTGCTCACCAGCAGTGCTGGGTATATTTCAGTGGGCATGTTAAGAAGCTGGACCCTTTCCTGGAAAATCAGCTCCATGCAGATTAAGAGCTCATTTATGAAAAGTGAAACCACCAACCACAGTGGTAGTGGCCAAGAGAGGTTATGACATCAGGGTTCCTAAATAAGACCAAACCTATTAGGTATCAGAGAAAATGCTGGTAGATTCACCTATATTCGAATTTAAAATTTCAGACAGGTGATATGCTAGAGAGACATGGAGCAAATCTATAGGGCAGAGGATAACTACAACCCATGGCTTAAAGGGGTTACCATCAGGCAGAAGTTTCATTACCAGGAGCGTTTGTTTTGTTTTGTTTTGTTTCGAAACAGGGTTTCTCTGTGTAGCCCTGGCTGTCCTGGAACTCACTCTGTAGACCAGGCTGGCCTCGAACTCAGAAATCCGCCTGCCTCTGCCTCCCAAGTGCTGGGATTAAAGGCGTGCGCCACGACCGCCCTATCAGGAGCTTTATAATAAGGGGCATTCAGTCAACACACGCAGGAGCCAATATTCAGTCCACCGGCATCCCTGGCTGTACAGCTGTTCTCCAAGTGTTATTTAATGGAGCCCTCAATTGAATGAAAAACTATCTCATGATTATAACTTAAGAAAAGTTGAGCAGGGTGATGATGGTGCATGCCTTTAATCCCAGCCCTAGGGAAGCAGGGACAGGGGAATCTCTGAGTTTGAGGGCAGCCTGGTCTACAGATAGATCGAGTTCCAGGACAGCCAGGGCTACACAGAGTAAATAAACCCTGTGTCAAAAAACCAAAGGGAAAAAGAGAGAGAGAGAGAGAGGTGGGGGAGAGAGAGAGAGAGAGAGAGAGAGAGAGAGAGAGAGAGAGAGAGAGAGAGAGAGAGAAGTTGTTCAACATGATCTGGAATAAGGGAACTGCAAACCAAAGCTACAGTGACCTGTCATTACATGGTCTCCAGACTTTGGAGCACAAGGGCATGAAGATCTAGCAAGTGCTGGCAAGGACACGGAACAGTAAAAGGCTCCACAGCAGAATGAGAACTGAAGAGCAGGAGCTTCAGAGTTAGACATTAGGAGCTAAGCATTCTACAGGAAAAAAAAAAAACCTGTTTGCTTTCCCTATTATTTTTTAAATAAATTACCACATATTTGGTGGCTTAAAACAGCACAAATTTATCTTGTTCTAGAACAGTAGTTCTCAACCCCACGGATCTTGGCCCTTTGTGTGGTTGCACATCGGATATTTACATTACGGTTTATGATGGTAGCAAGATTGCGGCTATGAGTATGAAGTAGCAACGAAAATAATTTTGTGGTTGTGGGTCATCACAGCATGAGGCACTGTATTAAAAGGTCACCGAGTTAGGAAGGTTGAGAACCCTACTCCATACGCCAGGCATCTGAGTCTCGGGAATGTAGAGCCATGGTGTCCGCAGGTATGTGTGGAATCAGCTGGACACAAGCACTCCCATCTTGAGCCATACTTATGATGTTCTCCAAATAGCCCTGGCTGATTTTTTTTTCTCAGCAAAGCATAAATCGATGAGATCATTGGCATCTTATGTGAAACTTTATAGCCAGATTCTGCCTCAGAGACGGAAGTCCCTAACTTCCCAGTTGAGCCTTTCCTTTTTTGACAGCATCTCAATATAGCCCTGAATCCATAATCCTCCTGTCTCAACCTCCTGAAAGCTGGAGATTACAATAGTATGCTACTGTGTCCAGCTTTGATATTTGTAGTCAGTCTTTGGCTACTTTGTAGGTTCTTTTCTCCACCCTTCTCCACCCCCTAACACTAGATAGGAGAGAAAGAAGGATAGAGAAGAAAGGAAAGAGATCCCTGAATATAGTCAGGGGTTGGAAAGGGGATGGTGCTACCATTAGAATACTTTCTGCTAATTAGGGGCGCAGAGTTCCTTGGGGCAAGTTTGATCTTCATGTCAGGATATCTAACTTCTTGTTGTTTCTTCTTTGTGTAGGCCTGCTTAACAAACCGCAACCAACAGCAGCAAATAACCAACCAATAAACCAAAGCAATAAACCACCTATCATGACTCTAGCATTTATATATACCTCTAAAATGTCTCCAGAATTCCAAACACTCACAGAAACCATCTGCAGCTAGCAAAATCACACTCCTGCTAGAGCATGAGGCAAATCATAGTCAGCTGCGGTGGATATTCTGAAGCAGCCCTGTACCCCACACCTGGTATTAAGACAAAAATATATTCTTAAATAGTTCTGTGTGTTTTTTAAAGAAACAAAAACTCCCAAAATTGTCACTATGGATATTATTTTAAGATAAACAGTCACATTACAGAAAGAATGAGTTTGTTTTGGTTTTGAGACAAGGTTTCTCTGTGTAACCCTGGCACTCACTCTGTAGACCAGGCTGGCCTTGAACTCACAGAGATGACCTGCCTCTGCCTCCTGAGTGCTAGGATTGAAGGCATGTGCCACCACCACCCAGCAAGTTTGACTCTTTGCTCTACTCCACAAATACAATCTTCATTTGACCCAAAGTTTTTGACCCACACTTGGGTTCATCTGGTCTGCTGCCATTCAAACCCACACTTTTAAGCTCCTGTCCCCCAATGCCTGGCAGTAAGCCACACTTGGTATAACCCTAGATTTGTCTTTCTCTTCTTTTCAGTCTCACAGCACCTTGAGGCTCATCCTTATAAATCAGGACTAGGTTGTTCTGTAAGAGCAGGGCTGTATGCACCTTACTGGAAGCCAGGGAGTGAGTGTCTACTTTCTTGGCTTTTCACTTTCTATCTAGAGCTGCCTTTGCCCCCTGGCACCTGCCTTCATCTAGCATGTTCAAAGCTGCAGTGTCAGCTGAGCCAGTCCTGCCATAGCCTTTGATGATCTATCTCTTTCCAGACTCCCTCTTCCACTGAGAAGACCCAAGATAGTTCTTCCATCTTAAAGGAAGCTGATGAGCCACCTCAGTGCCTCTTAGCCATGGAACGTCATGTTTTTACTGGTTAGAAGGACTGGCATGTTGGGTGTCTCTGGGGCCACTGTACTGCCTGCTCTAACTTTTCCTCTGAGAGGACGACCCTTTTTTTAGAGAGGGCTGTAGAAATTCTCACTTGACACAGTAGTTTTTCAGGTTGTCATAACAAAGTGCCCCAACTTGTATCCATTACACAACAGAAATGTATTCTGTCAGTCTTGAAGTTTGTCTTATTTGTTTTAAAGACAGGGAGGAGGGCTTCAAGCTGGGTGTGGTGGCAAGGGCCTTTTAATGCCAGCACTTGAGAGGCAGAGGTAGGTGGATCTCTAAGTTTCTGGCCAGCCTGATCTGCAGAGCAAGTTTCAGGATAGTTAGGGCCACACAGAAACCCTGTCTCAAAAACCAGTCAACCTATTAACAAAAACT